ATCCTCATGGATCGGAATCATTAAAGGGGTCCTTACCCGACCCAAAATCATCCGAGGGTAAAACAGTCTTTTCACATTAAATTTAAATAACAAGGTCCAAAAGGGCAAAATGGTAATTTGTTATAATTCAATAAATTGAGACTCAAGGGTACAACGGTCATTAACTTGTATCACATAGTAAATAAAATAAGGTTCGGGGCAATATAGTCCTTTCGGGGGTTAAAATATAATTATGGCATTTTAGTGGGTCAAAGAAAATAATTACATGTAATTTCACTTGGTGCCAAAGTGTAATTTAAGAACTTAAATAGTAATTACATATGTGACGTAAACCGGTCGACGTACATGCATCATACGTCGACTGGTTTGGGTTATGAACAGTGGTGATACCCACTGCGGAGAACGTGTACAACATTACCACACTGTAAAGATACCGGTCGACGTATGGGGAGCTACACGTCGACTGCTTCACGTAATTTGGTCGACGTATAGGATTTTTACGTCGACTGGTTTGGGTCATTCACGTTTAAAAGTCCACTGTCAGGATACCTCGACGTATAGGAAGCTACACGTCGACTGGTTCATGCAACTCAATCGACGTAGGGGGTTTTACGTCGACTGGTTTGGGTTATCCTCACCCATTGTCCAAACACTTGTGCCACTACACTCACGTACATAAACTAAGATACATTTCAACATTCAATTGCAATAATAACCACCACTTGATAATGTAATTTACAACACGTTATATGATATACGGGAATTAACATGATACGAATTTAATTACATTACCCAAATGGCCACATACATGATAAATCCAAATAATTCACATATTGTAAAATAATACATTTTGTGTCATGCACTCTACAAGAATAATTCAAGTCCCACAAAATACATTCAAAAATGCCTTTAAGTTCCCTTAGCTCTATGGTGGATTATCATCCGCCAATTCCTTGCCATGACCTGAAAAATATAATATATATAGTGGGGTGAGCGAATTGCTCAGTAGGTGGCGCCTAAGACGCACCCCATGAGACCCCGTGAATCCAAAACAAAGAATAGGCCAATAGGAGTTGGGGTCATACAACATAAGTGAGAATACAACATGGTTATCATTCTCAACACAAATAATAAGATGCAATGGAGATGCAATGCATGCCGATGTCGCTCCCCCTTTTCACAATCAGAATCATCGCTTTCAAACTGTTAATGTAACCCCCTTTGGTGACTCTGTAGCGCCGAAAGAAGGATTGGCTACTGTTCTTGACCTTTGGGGACTCCGCAACGTCATTATAAGGCCCAGATAGCTCAACCACGCTAGGGCAATCTTCCTAGTTCCCTCTAGGTTACATTAACCTACCGGCCCGTTAGTGACTCCGCAGCGACCGGGTTTTATCAAAACACTTTCATCAATACATTCTTTCCCAAAACTCCCCATTTTCATTTCAAAAATATTTTCTTCCCTTCATGTAACCCAATGGTGTATATGCATGTTTCATGATCTCAATACTATGAAAATGAGGAATTTGACACCACACAAGTAAGCATGTTCTCATACTTTTAATATTTAAACATACTTTTAATATTTAAACAATAATGAATTATCACAAAATACAATAGGGCATGCATTCATACACTATTTACAGCATATGAACAATACAATAGGCATAAAACTCATTATATAAGCATACTTCTCATATAGCACAATCAAGACATGTCTTCACATATTCACATATATACAACCAAGACAATTTAGGCTACAATTAACACAAATAAGCATGCTATAACACAATTCATGTAGATTAACTCACAAAGGTGCATGAATAATGTGAATTAGGAAGCCCCTACCTCTTAAAATGCGAAAACCCTCAAAATGGGTCATGATTTTCGGACTCCCTAGGCTACACAAAGACTGAAATTGTTGGTACCCATGCGTAGAGCTCGCCGTACTTTCCGTTTTGCCGTAAACGGCACTCCAAAATACCAAGTGTTGAAGAAGTTATCAAGCCTCAAAGATTGGAGCCAAAACAAAAAGAAAATGAAATGGAAATGGAAGAGAGGAAGAAAGCTACGGGAGAATGAGAGTTGAGAGACCAAAAATGTGGTCTCAAGACGAGGAATAGGTTAGTGGTGGGTCCCGCCACTGTCTCATGTTCTTTTTGCTTTAATTTTTACACTACATGCACACACAAGTGCACCACATGCAAATACTACTTAATCCACATAATTTAAAATGTACACAATGCAAACGGACCCAACCACAATCCCGTACACATAACGTGAAAAGACGAGAATGCCCTTGGGGTGACAAAATTCCAGAGAAAAAGAAAAAATAAAAATGGTGGAAATAGGAAACGTCACACTACCATCACCGCCGTATATAAGATTTTCATGAACGACAGGCATGCTTTAATAGAGGACGCCGATGAGATTGCATGTTTGGAGGAATGAAATGACCGACATGAGGCGAACTGTGACAAGGTCAGTGAAGCTTGCAGTTCGGCAATGTTGATGAAGTTACAGAGCTAGGCCGGATTCTTCTACAGAGCTCTGGCGTGTCTATAGCCATTTTGAATTGGGTTTCACCGAGGCTCAGGCGGCCTTCAACGCCGTCGAATCTGAGGTTCACTTGTACTGCTCGCGCAGACTGGATCGAAGTTCGCCGAAGTCAGACCTGTGTGTAATGTAGATGTGTGTATATGTGTCTGTCCGTATATATATGTTTGTGTATATGTACGTGGTGGTTAGTGGTCGGCCATGGTGGTGGTAGGTCTAGGTAGAGAAAAGGCGAGATTGATTTTCTAACTCGCTGGAGATCGCTTCACCCAGTTCAGTCTGGCAATCCCTACTTCGGTAAAGTTCAGTTCAATTCCTTGCAATTGAACGATGGGCATTAAGGAGAACGGCTCGACTATGATAAGAACCATCTTTTCCTATGGTTGCTGTTTGTGTATTCTATCGGTGGCCAGCATAGTTTCTTCATCACCGACAATAATGAAGAAAAATGAAAAAAAGAAGAAGATATATATATAGTGTGTGTGTGTGGGTAGAGAGAGAAATAAGTTATAAATTTTAATATATAATTCAAGGGTAAAATAGTAAAATCACACATTTTCATTAGTAAACTGAACGGCGGTTACTGACAGGGGGTGTAGGTGAAATTATGAAACGTAGAGGGTGTGTGTGAAATATTGACAAAGTTCAGGAGGTGTAGATGGAATTAATCCTAATAATTAATAATAAGGATAATTGTTATGGGGTCAAAATAGATATTCATTTTTAAAATTGTGTTACAATTTTCAAGAAGGATATCTATTTTGAAATTGAGAAAACAATTTACATAAAAAAATATAATCGAGCAATTTACTTTAAAAAATATAATCGACCAAAATATTGATATTAATATAAAAAATTTGTTCATTTATTCAAACCATCCTTGTTATTACTTAATACCACTTTTGCTATGGTAAACATCACTCTTGTGTAAGGAGCTGGTACGTATTACGTTAATACATGTGTACATAAAAAGTGGTATCTTTTTGCATAAGACCAACTTACCTACACAAAAATAGTTTTGGTACGGGATAGTAAAGGTAATTTGGGTAAATCAATAATATATGTAGGCATGCTTAGGGATGGCAATGGGGCGGGGTGGGACGAGAATCTCATTCCCCATCTTCATTCCCGGTTAAATTTTTTACCCCCATCCTCGCCCCCATACCTGTTTAAATTTCAACCCCCTCCCCCGTCCCCGCCCCACCCCGCCACATTAACCCCCATCCCCGCCCCGCATAACTTTTTAAAATTCCAATTCACCTTCAACAAAATCAACACAACTATAATATTTTTCAACCTAATAATTTAATAAAGTTTCAGCACAATTATAACAATTTAAAACATATTATTTCAACCCGATCAAACTTATAGCAAAACCACATATAACATTTTTTGGAATAGTCTAAAAATTTTCAACACGATCAATCAAAACAAATAACATTCTTACAACAACGACTATGCTGCGAGGGAATAGATCTAGGGTTTTAGAAGTGAATATATTATATATATAGTTATGTAATTTAATAATATTTATAACATGGAAAGGTAATTTTGTAAAAATGCACTATAAACGGGGCGGGGAGGGGCGGGGTTACCCTCCCCCAGCCCCGTCCCGTCTCCCGTTGGGGTTTCAAATGCAGTCCCCATTCCCTCCCCATTTACATAAATGGGTCCCCAAATCAGCCATAACAGGGGCGGGGTGGGGCGGGGACCCACCGGATATGGAGATTTTGCCATCCATGCTCCTGCTAACTCCATGAAAAAGTAAATAAGAGAGAAAAACTCAATGTACAAGTAATAATATCATATACAGTACAAAACTCAGTTATCAAGATATGAAACAATTGAAATTAGTAGGAGTACGCCTTTTTATTTTCAAACGGGAAGGAGGGTTCAAATCTGGGTGGAATAAATGAGTGCTTGTGTAAACTTATTTAACAAAAAAAATATACATAAAAATTCAGTTAAAAGAGGCTTCATTGTAGCGTTTTCCTTTTCTTTATGTATAATAATAATAATAAATTGTTTTCTCTTTTTAAACTACTTTTGAAGAGAAAATATAGATGAAGTTAAGGAGGCAGGTGTCTCCCTCCATTTTTTTTTACTTTCGAAACTTAAAGACTCCATTCATTACTTCTTTCCTGCCAAAACTCAGTGCACGAGAATAAGCCATTGTAAGATTTAGAGGGTTAAATATACGAAGCATTACCTCACACGCAAAAACCCAACCTTACCGTTGCGCCAAGATTCTCAACAAATTAGGTAACAAAAAACATGCAATGAATAGACTGCAATCAAGTTGGGTTAGATAGGTAAGATCAATTAATCCTGGCATTTCTGTTCATATATATACATATACATATATGTGTGTGGGTCAGTGTGTGTAAAGCCCATTGCATTATTTGCTAGGCATTAGCTTGTACCATGAGATGACTAACTGAAACTGGCAATCAAAATAATTACTTTTCCACCTTTCTTTTGCCCATTTTCTTCCATTCTGCTGCCATCACATATCCAGTACATTTTATCCTATGTATACATAACATACAAGGAAATTAAATATGCAGCAAAGACTTAATACACATGAAAGAGAGAGAGTGAGAGATGTAACAATCGAACACCCATAATGTAATGTGGTCAATGAGCCGCTTCCAAAATCGTACTTGGAGGTTGTCCACCCAATTGTGGTGGACTTTACACACAAGCTATAAGCCATAAGAAGCTGATGCTGAAGCCTTGCGTGACACAGACACACCTTCATGAGTGGCAACCGGTTTGTTGGATAAACGACGCTTGTAGCGTTTGAGGACAGAAACCAGATTCTCTTTACCCTTCGGGAAAGCCACGTCACCAGCTGCAGTGCCAGTCCGACCCTTTCGACAAGAGATTGCCAATTCAACATCCTTGATTATTTCTAAGAGCATTACTGCATTCGTGCATTTCCCCCTACCTTGTTGTACAGGCGGGGGCAAGCTTTCATTTGAAATGGGTGGGCTTGACCGCTGTTGGTATGCCACCGGAATTTGAAGACAGAAGCAAGGGGCCATTGGACAGCGGGGCTTGGAAAATGCCAGATCAATTATTCCCTGACATAAACACATTTACAATAGAAGTGTGTCACAATCACCGAACTAGAGAGAACACAACTAAAGGTAACACACGCAGAACACTACCTTAGGGCACTTCCCTATAGATATTCAAATAGGGAATGTTTCTGCAGGATGTCTCAAATTTTCACATCGAGACAAGTCTTTAGAGAGTGGTTCTATCGACAAAGTACTGACCAAAGGAAATACTGCACAGATTACTATAGGACTGACCATGCTAGATGTTGTAGAATCTTTAGCAGTTTAGTAGCAGTAAAATAGTCATGTTAAAATGAACCAGTATTAAGACTAAGAAACAATATCATAAATGAAGTTAAAAGGAGAAGCTTAAGGTCAAATTAATAGGGACATTCTGAGAAAAGACTAAGATGCTTGATCAGTTGTAACAAAAACTCATAAAAGGAGTGACTTGATTCATGATGAACAACCTACAAAGACAGAATGTGAAGAAAAAAAACAAAAACCTTCCAATCTAGACCCATCTGCAAGCAGTTTAGAAAAGGCATTATTATATTAGTTACAAGGTTTGCCATTGGAAACATAGAAAGAAAACATTATCCCATTAGATCTAATTCCGTGCTATGAACTAGGGAGCAAATTTCACTTATTATGCCCTCGAATGAAAACAAGTTATTAAATATTGGAAAAAAAAAAAGGGTGGCAAAAATAATTATTCAAAGAAAACTTTGAACTAAAATCTTAATATTCCTTTCAACAGTAGCATTAGCTGGAACCAAGGAAGAAACAACATAACACATTATGACCAATTGACTTGGAAGACCTTAAAAAATAAATTCACTCACACGGATCTTCCAGATAACTCATTTCAGATATTACTACGGCAGATTGCCACAAGTGACACCATAACTGGCAGAATCTACCCCATTAATAAGAAGCACATACCCGTCTTTCAATTTGGTTAACATGTGATGGACCACAAATCCTTTTAGAGATGTCATAATCACTTTACACAAGGTAATACAAAAAGAGAAGTCAAGCACCAAATTTAAAACCTTTACCTGAAGGCGATTGAGTACGTAAGTATACTTCCCCCATAGCTCCGGCCTGCTTTCCATAAGTGAGAGCTCAAGGACACGGTGAATGCACCACACCCCAAAGCTTATTATCAAGTCCCCTCTCCAAATGCAGCCTTCTCCGCATTGAGGAACTGAAGAAACCAGAAATTTGGTAATATCTGTGTCATCGTTTTTAAGTGTAAAACCAGGCTTCCTATCAGAAGAATACTGAAATTCACCCATGTGAACCCCTCGGTTCATCTCCCTAGTTTCAGCTTCATAAAGGAATCTCTCCCTTGCAGCTACACGATCTATAAGATCCTCATCAGCACCATCATTCTGTCTAAACAACCAATCAGACCCTTCCAGTTTCAAAAGCTTCGCAATACAATACCTGAAAGACTGAAGAAGCTTCGCTTCCAGATCCACAGCAGACGTAGTTTCTTGATTAATTGAAGTTTGCCTGCTTCCAACTCCTTCACCCCCAGTAGCATGAATTTTATCTGCCACGCCGAACTGTTCATAAGGCTGTCTAGTCCACAGGGATCCAGTGTCTGACCTTGAACTGAACTGTAGCGAGAACGCGTCTCTGCAGACTTTCGAAGAAGAGAGTTCATCAAATGTTGAAGGCGCTTGTGCCCATGACGAAGTGCTTGAAGATGGGGATTGTTCATACATTTTTTGACCAACAGATGGCCTGTATCCAATGGTACTGTCCCATCGAGCATTCTTGTCAGACAAATGTGAATTGCGGTGAGGAAGAAGTCCTGCAATGTCTGGCAAGCTATAGAACTTCTTCGCATCAACTGTACCACCCACATTCTCCGCTGGTCTGGAAGAGCAATTGTCATAAGATGGTCTTTCAGATTGCAATGAACTATTTCTAGGTACAGCAAGGTTTGGAAAACCTGGTGGTCTTGAAGCGCTGATCCCATTTTCTGGTTTTTGCCCCAAAGCAAAAGAAAGTGAGCCTTTATAATTTGATGTGCCCAAAGATGGGGATTTGGGGGTCATTGACTCCATTTGACCATTCAAGTAATCAGAACTTTTTTCTTTAGCAATTCGATTGAGATATGATGCAATCTGATAACCATGTACTGTGGCTGGCTGGTAGTCATAGCCATCAGAAGATGGTGGCAGGCGCAAACTAGAATAGCGCCTCTCACCAGCGTCAAGAGCATTGCGGCTGGAATTTTGCACATATGCATCTAACATCTGCATGTGGTTGGACCACAATGAAGATGACCCCCTTTGAACAGATGACTCTATACTACGTTGCAACCCGTGCTGCTTGGTAGAGTCATACAAATTTGAACTGATCATGGAATCAGATCCTCTTCCGCCTATGGAGGGATAATATCCTGTAAGTTCCTTCCCACCCATGTCAACTTTCAGTGTAGTAGCAGGCTTTGGATCAACCTTTGAATCTACCCCCAGCAACACATCCAGTTTCTTAGCCTTTGCTTCTTGCGTTACTTGTCCATGGAAATCATAGAGCTGTCCCCAAAATTCATCAAGAATTGCAGCTAATTGACGTCTAGCAGCACGGCCTAATCCCGCTAATCTTGAAAGACTCCCAGCCCCACTCCCTCCATCATCACTTTTCCCACTGAGACTCCTAAATGATCCAGGACCCTCAGATGTCAAAGATGGGCTACTCCCAGACATCCTTTTAGATGATTCTTCAGGCTCCCAAGTATCTCCCTCATCATCCTTCTCACTCTGTAAATCCCCCTCTACTCTCACAGTCTTTTCAACTAGATCTGTTGATTCAGTTTTCGAGGTACTGGTATCCAGTGATTCACTATCAAAAACCTCACTACAAACAGAAGTGACTGGGACAATCTCTATTTTGGTCACTGATTCCCCTGGATGACATACAGAGGGGCCTGGGAATGTAGTATTAGAACAACTTTCATCAATAGTAGTCAAATGCCGCACATTATCAGAATCCAAGAGTGTTTCGGGCAAATTCAAATCAGCACTTGTAACTGACATATCCAAATGATTGTCCAAGGAATTTCCCAATGCTAATCTGGGTTCTTGCCTTTGTATGGATTGATCTCCATGATATCTAGTTTCAATAAAATCAGTGTCGTCTTTCTTGGCATATGGCTCTGGTACAGCGTTTTGTATGTCCCAGTCCCATACCTGAGCATCTAATCTGGAACATGCAGATTTTAATGGAGTGGCTGCAAGCCAAATCATCAAACACAGTGTAACAGAAGCAGTGATTAGAAGCACAACATAAGGAACAGAAATGCTACTCCCCAAGTTCCACCTCAAATTACCCACCCAATCACTGTTTCCAAATATCATCTCTACCACAAATATAATATTTAGGCCCAGCATTCCAATAAATGAGATCAGGGCCATGAACTCCAGAAACTGAGAAATTTTGTAGGCACCCATTATTGATCTTGATGAGGCAACCCGGAAAAGGGGGATGACAGAAGATGGAAGCACAAGAGCAACCACAACCTGTATGAATATCAACAATTGATATATACCTTCAGCTCCTGAATTCCACACACAATAGAGAGCAGGAACAATGGCAATAATTCTGATTGTGGCATGATGAAGCCAACCGGGAATATCAATCCTGAAGAAATCATGCAGGACTGCTTGTCTACCAAGATTCCAGGTTAATGCTCTGATTTGATTGGAAAATAACAGACCTAGTATTAAGGCAAAGGGTGCTAGTGGACTCCTAAGTACCTGTATAAATTATTTTTGAAAAACGAAATTTTGTTAGCATGCATCAAATTAATAATGAACAATAAATTTCAAACGACTGGTATGTTAAGCAATTCCAGTAGGAACATTACTCATAAAACACAGACCTGATCCATTAGCGACAATGCATCCTGAAATGTAATCAAAACAAGACCTGTACTGTAGAATATATTTGCCGCAGAGTTCATCAGCACATAATTCACCATGAAAATGCCACTAAAGATGCATAGAATGGCAAAAAAATGGTCATGACACACGGCTCTCTTGGAAACATTCGGTGGTCCCACATCTTGCTGCAAGAATATGAAAGATGAGCAGAACTTCAAAAATTCAATAAACCAACTACCAGTAAATAAAACCATTTTTTATTTTATTTTATTTTATTTTATTTTATTTTTTTTATGCCACTGCATGAGAATGCAAAATAAGCACAGGTCTAGCTGTTGTTAGCAAAATTTCAAGAATATAGCAAATTGGATTTTCAACAGACTCCCAGCGTCCCAACAAGAGCACTTTCTTGGATTTTAGAATCAGAAAAGATGTAGAGAATTCCCTCTATCTAATATATGCAAGTGCTATTTGGTGTGGGTAGTTCTATGAATTTCAGCTTTGAGACCTCCCTCATCTCTCCCGATAAAATAGGTGCAGTCAGTTATGTTTAGCATATAAAGTCCTTTTAAAGAAGCAAGGCCATCAAAACTGAAATCAAGTACAGATTATGGGGCAAAATATTGTTACAAGCCAATGAACACATTTGCCATGCATGCTTGCAAGCACTCTCTGAGACTCAACATACACACAAAAACACACACACAGAGAGAGAGAGAGAGAGAGAGGAGCGGAGGGTGAGAGACCTGTACAAGAGAAGAATGAAGGTAAAAATTGTGAGGCATAATACTAGCTCCAAGAAGGCTCATCAGAGCAAATGCACTCTCTCCACTGAATTTTGTTGGCATCCCATTCATGGAGATCGGAGGAGTCTCTTGTTGACTGATGAGAATGCCAAAAATATAAGAAAGCATTATAAAGCTCGCCATGCCTATGCACAGAAATCTTGCTTTGCCATTCTCCTGAAATACAAGTTTTCTTAAGATGACATCACAATACTAATGTCAACTCTCAAAATGATATTACAAGTGATTTTATAAAGAAATGTAAGTAATTTGGCTTACCAGGAAGGTGGCAAAAAGTGGAAATAGGACAGCATCAAGAAGAGTCAGAAAGACACAAGTGAATAGGTCCACACCAAATATTAGATTAAGCCCATGTGCAGTGCCCAAAATCTAAAAACATCAGTGCAACTATATTTTAGGGATAAAACAAAACTTCTTGTAATTGGAAAAGGCAACCAAATGTATCATCAATAATCAGTAAAGAGCAATAAACAACCATAGTAAGGTCCAAAGCGATCATAGAAAACTCTGTTTGAACTCCTAAAAATATGCATGTGGCCATGTCATACTCCTCGCTGCAAATCTTTAGCATCACAAACAGAAAAAACATGTAAGTAGTTAAACTAGAATAAAAGCAAATAATAAAAGACTCGAGCATATGAATAAATAAGCAACACGCTGGCATAAAATAATTTGGCATTTAGAATTTATAAAATGGTATCATTGCAAAAGATAATAGTATATTATTGGAGAAAAGAGGGATATATATACATATATATATGCCTATGGAGAGAGAGAGAGAGAGAGAGAGAGAGAGAGAGAGAGAGCCAATGATCATCCACTCCATCCAAAACCTAGATGCTTCTAGAAGAAACATATAAGTTTAGGTCATAGTTACAATCCAGCATGTCAAATGCCACATTGAATCTTGGTATTTATTTTACACATTACAGCTAATGAAACCAGAAGAGCAACAGAAACTAGCAGTGTATTTGGGGGAATCCAGTTTCTAACTGAACTTATTACTACGTAGCTTTTTTTTTTTTTTTTTTTCTTTTTTTCTTTCATAATTTAACTTATTAACTTAACAAAGCCTTGTTCCAAGTATATGGGAATGACTATATGTTTAGAAAGAAAAATGTTCATTTTCCACACCGATGCTACTACACTGCAATAAATATAATGTTCATAAGTTTTACCACAAATGATAATGGTATAATAAGAACATGTGCAATTCTACCAGTTCTGAAGTTAGATAACCATACAGATCATCTAAGTGTAAAAAATCAATCTTTTTATAAATTCCAACCTACTCATTTTTTTTTAGGTGCAGACAATTCCTTGGAGGAGGGGTGTGTGAGTACCAACTGGGGGGGTGGGGGGGACAAAAAAAAAACTACTCATTTTCAAAATTTTCTTACAATTCCAATCAAAACAAAATATAAGGGGGAAAGAAAGAAATAAAATTTCTACAATTGCTCAAAATAATCAAAGATTAAATGGAGTCTGGAAAACAAAAGAATATATATACCTGGGCAAGATCTTTTCCAGTGACCACAGTGATGCGAGCTGACAGGTATTGACAGAAAATAGCAGCAAAATTGAAAACAAGCATTGGTGCGACCAAATCAACCCCAAAGTGGGCTCCTCCCTCAACAGCAGCGGCCCACTTTCCTGGGTCAACATATCCGATTGCAATTAAAAGCACAGGAACAGCAGCAGGAATTAACCGCTGAAGAATGCTTGGCCTATAGTTAGCAGTCAAAATCTCATTTTCCATGTTATTGTTTGATTCCTCCATTATAGGAATTCAGCACTATAACAGTTAATCAACAGTTTCAAGTAACTGGAGAACCTCCCAAGGACTATTAAGCAAAATAGTTACATGGCTGCTTACTCCAAACGTACTTCCACTGTTTGAATGCCAACCTTCCTTGGTCATTTAACATGGCATTAGTGGCGTCTGTCGCTAACCATATCTCGATATAGCCAGGGTATAAACAGATCCAGATCCCTCATCACCTGTGGAGACTAACAAGACATGTACATCTAGCAACTACTTCAATAAAGCAAGGCTGGCAGACTAGTATAATGTACTTTCCCAGATCAAATTCAATAGCTGCCCTTGTTGTTTAGTTGCATGACAACTGTTGATACAACAAAGTCCTAACAACAGTGCTTTGGATATAACCACCTTCAAACCAATATTGAATTATTTCCACAACCTCCTGAATTTTTTCATTCATGGCTCGATCAATATCAGAGGGCTCATCTTCGAGTGAATTTTCTGCTCAAGAGTCAATTTCAGGAAAAAATTAGCCGAGGATATTATCTGTAATCCACAAAACAAACTGCACATAAATAAATATATATATTGTCAACAAACTGCCTGATTAATCTACAGTTCAAACTTCTAATCCTGATTGAGAAACAAATACCAAAATTGTATCAATAAATTCGTCTTCAAATTTTCGCATTTAGAAGCATGGATGAAGTGCTGAAAGTTACATAAATCAACATATAAATCAACTGATAACATCAATAAGAGCATTGCGTCAACAAACTACTGTAGGGACAATTTCAATTCTTTGATTAACTCAAACAGCACAAATTTAACAGGGTCATGGATGCGTCAAAGAAAGTTCACCAATTGAATGTTACCAAAACCACCAAAGTATGCAGCACTCAAACAGCACTCGCAAGAATTCACAAAAATTAATAATAAAACTAATAAATAAATAATAAAAAAAAAGCTGTAAAAATTCATTGACAAAAGAACAAAGCAGTAGAAACTAAAGGGTCAGAAATTAACCAGTTCCAATTTATCACTTTGCTTAAGTAGTGATGCAGTATTACAATTATACTTCCCAAAGCTAAGTTAAACAGCAATTGTAACAACAAAATCAGAAAGCCAACTTGTAATTACAACTGCAACTAGAACTTTATGAAATATTACCAATAAACAAACCCAGAATCAACAAATGCAAAAAGAGCACATGCCCATATTACAATCCGAAAATACCACCAAATGACCCAGAACAATTTTAAAAATCAAAACTTTATTTCCAAAACAAAAGAGCAGAGTCCAAAAACCTATAAAAAAAAAAAAAAAAAAAAAAAAAAAAGAAAGTAAAATGACCTGGGCTAATAAAAATCAGAAATAGCCACAAAAACTTATAACAAATTGATTACTTACATGGATCTGAGGTTGAGATAGAACTATAAAATTATCGATTAAACATGCGTATGTACAGCATGCATAGAGCTATATAATTAGGGTTTCCAGGGAAAATAGAAAAGAAAAGAACACTGTTACCTTCATGTTCTGGAGCTTTCCTTTTTGATTCTGTACAATCTCTGTGATGAGAGCAGATCAGAAGCTTTTTAAGTAGCCACACACGGTGATGGGGTTTCTAGTCAGAGAAAGAGATAGAGTTGTAGAGAGAGAGAGACGTTCTTGTGAGCTGTGAGCGTAAAGACTGGAGAGAGAAAGTGCATAGAAAAGAGAGAGAAAGGGAAAAATGTGTATATATATATATATATATATATATATAAAGAGAGAGAAAATTAATGACCCTTCAAGTTCTCTTGGAGATAGAGAAAAGTTAATGTAAGTTAGGATTCACATGTGAGGTGAATTTATTAAACAAAAGGCTTAACAGCTCTAGAAGACACTTAAACGTTTTGTCGCTTTTATCATATCTTCAATAATTTTTCAATGTTGAGAAGCCATTTTTATTTTTTTTTTAGTAATTGTGAGGTCCAAGTAAAATTGAGGAATGCATATATTCATTGATAAATTATTAAATAATTTTAAAAAATTGTATCACATTCCGTAGTTCTGATTTTTTATGAATAGTTGCTAAATCTACTGATTTTTTTATAAATAGTTGCTAAATCTAAAGTTAAAATTTTTATTGGTTTAAAAGGTATCTGTAGTTTATAAATATTTGTAATTTGTAAGTACTTCAAATTTATAGACTATCCTATAATTCTCAAATTAAAAAAATAATAATAATAAATAAATTTATTCCTTTCTTTCTCTTCCTGCCTTTCACACACTTTGTCGTAGTAATTTATTTATTTATTTTCTGGAAAAATAAAGGGTTTTGGTCTTAGTATTAAAACGACATCGAGTGTAAGAGGATAAGATTTTATGTACGAGTATGTGGTGTGCCGTACTTTGTGCAAGCAGACGTAAAACATGTACTTGCTTTATGAAAATAGTAATAAATAACTATAGAATAGAATAGATATACAATTGTAAGACATTTAAGTGGACTCACTGTATATAGAAATATATAGTAATATTAATGAAAACAAAGGAAATAAAGTGACCCACACCAAAGACAATTTTTTGTTTTTTATACATATATATATTTTATCTCTAAATATAAGAGTGTGAATACAGTATAATTTTGCATATCATGAAGATAGGTTTTGATTTCACATTTACACTTTTGGACTTATTTGTGATAGGGGCCTTGGGAGTTAACGAAATAAGCGTCCAACCATGTTATGCAATAGTGAAAGCTTTGACTTTTCTTTTAAGATCATATGCAATAAATTTGTAGCTTCTTAATGCGGTCATTATCGTGGAGGGTTGTCTTGGTCTGATTTTCAAAATATGATATTTATTATAACACCGAATGAGTACATTATTATAGTTTTTTTATTTTTATTTCTTTTGGTAGTAATTTGTTTTGTAAGTTTGGAGATCACGCCCAAGAGTTTGGGGATAGTGATAAGGTAAGAAGGTGGGTTCTAATATGTTTCGATTTCGATCCCAACACTCTTATTATAATACTTGATTTAACCGATATTATTGTTGTGAGATCGATTATAACATCATTGGTTTGTAGCTTGTCGTGGATCCAAAGAATCCTATCCAAAGGAGGTTTCGAGTCAAAAAAAAAAAAAAAAAAAAACAAAAACAAAACAAAACGAAAGCTATGGAGATCATTATCTGAAATGCATTACCCAAAATGATGGAAAGGAAATTGGAAAAGAAACATTCATCAAACTGATGTTTCATGGGACCATTTATTTTCAATTAAATACTTTGGTTATTAAAATATGTGTGTGTGTGTGTTCAAATTTGGTTTTGACGATGAGTCATGTCATGTGTCATGCCAGATTTAAACCAAGTACACTCTCTCATATGGAAAGTGATCTATAGATGAGATAAGGGGTCACAATCTTGGTTTTTAATGCCAAGTGTGTAGATGATGGGTCATAATCTTATTTTTTGATGCTAAGTGCTAGCAAGTAATGATTTCTATAATAAATGAAGTGTGGGTAGTTGCGAAAACAAGTCAAATAGTTTTTAGGGGGTAAAAGTCTTGCAATTTCATCAAAGGAATGTTGGAGGAGCTAGGGTTTGGCTGATTAGTCTCAAAACTTCTCTCATCCTCATGTTCAACTTCCATCTCCCCAAATCAAGTTTAACCTCAAATGCCTTACGAGATTTATGCACCTTACCCAAGAATGTATGTGCTTTCTACTTAGTTATGGAACAATTGTTTATATTTAATATAATCAAAAATGACAACAATGTATTTACCACATTTGCTAATAAAGTAATTTTAAATTGTTCAAGAATACATCTTCATCATTACAAAATCTTGAATCTAATTAGGACAAAACCTCTTTCGTCTTAATTCTCAATCTAAATGGAAGTTGAGACAAGCTTTCAAGATAAGACCCATTTAACACTTCCTGGTTCACTCCAATCAAAATTACTCTTAAAAGTATCTATGTAATATATTATTGCATGGAAAATGCTTGCCTTCCATATGATATATTATTGCATGGAAAATACTTGCCTTCCATAGAAGAAGGGAATCCCTTCTGATAATCAATGTGGCACGATAAAAAAACTAACATGTTTATTAAAAAAATATATATCTAATATTGAAAACTTAAAAAAATATATATTAGATATGGTTTAAATGGGTTAATCGGGTAGAACCCATCTCTCTCCAGCAAATCTCCACCACCCAACCTCCATCCCAAAGCCCTAATCATTTATCATCATGGCTCCCCACCGTCCGCCACTCTGCACCCTCTTCCTATTTCTACCAGTATATTTTTGTAGGTTCATTTTTTTAATCGAAGAGTTTAAATTGTATTAAACCACTAAATATTAGTGACCTAAAACCATTTAATAATTTATCCACAAAAAAATAACTGCATTTTAACAAGTCAAATAAAAATTAATTAAATCCCAACTCATTCTGTTGTCAAATGCCCTTTTTCTCTAGTTGCACATGCAAGGTAGTGCTTAATTAGCCTTCTTTATTTTTCAAAAGGAATAAGAAACAAATATTCACTACTCCTAGTGGCTTGTTGCATGCTCAAAATAAAATTTTGAATTATTTTTACTGACTCAGCAGCTCAATAACTAGGTGGTCCAAGTAGATTATTAATTTATATAAAATCGTAACCACCACTAAGATAGGTCAACTTTATAAAAACAATCAAACAATCATGAAAAATATAAAATGGAAAAAATATTATAATTAAATGATAAAACTTATAATAGCTTAAACAAAATAATGAGTCCAAGTTCCACGAATTGAGAGCAAGTCACATGGCTCCGAGCTCTTATGCTAATCCAACTAAAAACAATTGCTCCAAATAATTCAGTTTTTGTTCTTCATATCATTTCATCAACTCTAGATCAAGGACACGTTTTATTTTTCGATCTCCTCTTTGTTTATTTTTTTTATTATTAATTTTATCGAACCAATAATTTATATTCCTGTTGATTTCGAGACATTTTTGAAAGATAAATAGTTATTTTTTAGTTAAAATTGAAAGATAAATAGTTGATTGCATTGCACAGCCAATATAAGTACAAACCTGCAGCCTAATATCATAATCCTCTTAATTTAAAAATCACTTCTGGCAATAAAGGGCTTTGGACATATATTTACTTATTCATTTTTTAAATTTCTTTTATCGGGAAAAATAAGAATATATAATAAGTATTAATAAAAAATCATGTAAAGATAGTCAGAATGATTCAGCAATGAAAGTTAAGTTTCAACACTTAAAGAATGAGGTCTCTCACAATCCCGACAATGTACTTTTAGTAACCTCCCTCTTTCCCCCGGAAATATCTCAAAGAGAAAAAACAAGGCTTTCTTAAGAAATATCTCAAGAAAAAGAAGAAATTAATACTAATTTTATAGAACTCTCTCTCCTAGAAGAATATATTCGATACGTCCGGTGTGCACCATGCATCGAATCATCAGAAAGATCTATTTTCGCTCGTATTATGCACGAACGGTTCTGATGTATATGGTGCACAATGCACTGGACACACTGAATCCCTCCTCCTCTCTCGTCCTCCTCTCTCTCCATCCACATGCTTGATCCCTTAGTTAACACTTCAATGCATCAATTCAAACTACATTTCTCCCCCTCAAGTTTCTTTATTATTCTTGTTTTTAAATATATCTTAAACAAAAACAAGATTACATGTGACATCTCAATGCAGCAACCAAAGTAACATAGGATATTTATATTAAGTTCATTGAACTTAGTTGACATAAACCCTAGGAGATTCATATATCCTCTTAAATTTTTTTAGTAGTGTTTAATGAAATAATTACCATCGAAACTACAAAACTAATGCTCAATCCATCCCTTTTGGCAGTTAAACGTACCGTTAGGGGAGACAAATCCCAACAGTAGACAACATGGTCCTAGTCACTATGCTCCCAAGATTCTAGTTTGTGTACCGTCTTTTTTACTAGATTGAGATCTTTGGGGTTTTGTAGCATCATTTATAAAATAATATAGATTTTGATCAGTCTCAGATGAATTGGTTCATTGTATCTAAATATTAGCTAAAACACATGCATGATTTCATATTTGTAAAGTTACTACTCATATACCAAACATGTCTAAGTGTCATTCTTACTTCTTAGACCTATTAAATATGCTTGCTGTTTTTTTTTTTAATGATTTTAATCACCCAGGAATCCTAACAAACTGCATCATTTCTTTAATCACCCATAAGTTACCGTTGATGATTATTGGTAAGTGAGTTAGGCTTGGATAGGTTATGCATTTGGATGGTAGATGGCTTCAGCTTCGATTTTGGCCCTAAAAGCTAACACAAACACGCGCGCGCAGAGTCACAGGTGAATTTGTGAATCTAAAGATGCGTTTTTATAGGAGTTACCTAGATAAAATTAGAAATTTTTTGTTTGATTAATGTATTTTCTCGTCTTTTAAAACAGAAGATCAGATTCAAAATTCAAACCCGGACAAAGTGAATGTGCAACTGTTTCTTGCCCAAAAAAAAAAATTCATTGGGACCAAAACCTAGGCCGAACCATCTAGGCTCGGTCTTTGGTTTAGCTCATTGAGGCCTGGTCCGAACTTTGACCCAATGGTCATGTCTATACGAATACTTGTCATTACAATATCACTCTGTAGCATATTAAACCAGAGCCCACTTTTGAGATATATTTAGCTACCATGAAGGAAGTAAAATCAGAAAAGGAGTTTTTGATGATTCGGTACAAGCCCTCCTCCCCAAAGAAAAAGTCAGGTGTTCAAGCCTCAATGGAGACATGGATGTATGTTAGCTTAACCTTCCCGATAAAAATAAAAATAAAAATTTGATATTCATACTGTCAGAAGATGTTCACAATAACAACACTAAAACAACAAAAGATTACAACAAAAGATAAAGTGTATATGAAAAGTACATTAATCATTATCCCTGACCACCAGCATTTAAGCAGAGATTCAAAATTGCCACTACATTTCTATAAGTTGACTCCTCTATAAAAAATTTTTTTAAAAAAAACACTTAGAAACCAACTTTACACCCATTTAGGTATTATTATATGTCATTGGGAGCCATAACTAATTTTTCATATGCTTAACAGGGAAATTCTCTTCAGGTTGTCTTTGCCACAAATAGTTTGAAGCTTCTATCCACCGTGGATGGACCAGAAACTTCTTCTCTTGCACTGCCCAGCGGGACTTCTCCGTTCCAGTGTCTGTAGACACCACGTGTGTCACCGAAGGATCGAGTTCTGTGGTGCATAGGGCTCCCAACTGCTCCGCCATCTTCCAGAGGGGGTGATTTTCAGCCTGGAATTTAGTTGGGAAAACCCGACTAAATACAACTTTACACCCATCCAGAACTTCCTTCCGCACTGTTTTCAACACCTATCAGGAATCACCAGATATTTTATCACCAACCATAATCTATTTCAAGTCAAAAAAATTCTTGTAAGGTGAATTAACAGACAATAAGAAAACCTTCTGATATGAAGTGCTCATGCAAATGTACTATACCTATGTCAAGTGTTTAGCAAATTTTGATAGCTTTGGAAAAATCATTGGAAAAACAAAAAAAAACAGAAAAACATTTCTGAGAACCCAATAAATTTTGCAGAACACCAACAATTGTGAGTTTAACACTGCAACAACGAATGGTTAGAATAGCTGAGAGAAATGGTTAGAGGAATACTGGATTCAATACTGCAACAACTGAAACTGCCCGCTAAACCTTAATTTAGTTTACATGAAGGATGACAAATTCTCATTAAATTACAGTCCCACCCTATGGTCAGTATTAAGTTCCAATACCATCAAAGTGACGCATTAATGCATGGTTCTCTTCGTAGACCATTCTAGTGCGTTATAGCGCACGTTCATGTGCTCTTATTGGGTTTGCCCCACGGACTCTTTCCTCGGCTGGTTTTAGGGCTTGACTATGCCCATCTATCGGTAACTCTTTTCTCCCTCGCTGGCTTCTTTTGCTCCGGTTTGTGTCTGCTGTGAGTGTGTATTGTCTTGATCCAATCGGAGTGAATCGCCATTCCTATTTCTATTTCATCGCCCAACTCTGTTCTCTTAGATAGTTCTAGAAATCTATTTGATTCTCAAATCGCTCTCCTTTCCTTCCCCAAAAGGCTCTTTTTCGGGCTAAAGTGGAGAAGCTGTTTTCAATTTCCTGTCGCCTCTTTCCTACTTCATTTTGTGAGATTGATTTTCTTGTTCCGTGCCTTTAGAAGATGAAAACGGCGTTAGCGCTTCTTGCTAGAGGGGCAAGAGACACATAGTCTACATAGACAGTTCGTTGTGCTTCAATGAAAAGCAGGCACATGTGCTAATACATTTATGTATATGTGCATTCTAACGAAGATCCACTCTGAAACTCAAACCCACCCCCAATCAGATAAGCAGCAGCAGCAACAACAACAAGACAAAGCCTTTTCCCAAATCAGATAAGCACCAAATTGGACATATATCATGAAACTCTTGAACCAAAAGCAAACAAAAAAACAATAATAGTAATAAAAATAAGATGCAAGAGATCAAATCTAGTCATTGTAAGAATCATTTACCTGCCTTACGTCTCTGTTCTCGAGATTGTCCCCAAGTTCCTACAAGAAGGTACCCAATCAGTAGAATTGAGTGAAGAAAACATTTTATAAACTCATAAAAGAAGCAGAAACAGGGCATACCGGGTCGAAGAACATACTGTGGACACGCTTGAGAACTTTAAGAACAGTATTAAGGGCTCCATCAGCCTCACTTTCATCACTTTTTAGCTCAGAAAGAGACTTACAATTGAAGCCAAATTGTCGAGAACTCGAAGCAAAGAAATGATATCTTTCCATCAGTATCAGATTCTCCTTATCCTTCACCCAAACCTAAAATACAGGACAGTGACAAAAAAAATTTACCCTTTTAACTGGTATGTATTGACTCCAAAAGTGTTACCAAAGTAAATAACCAACATGTAGAAACGCAATTGTATTTACAAGGGTCATTACCCACTGTGTTCCCGGATAATTAAGGATATTTGCACATAATGGCTGCCCTCAGGACTTGAACTCACAGCCCGAGTAGTTAGCAGTGACTAAGTAATGTATTTATATAATGCTAAAGATACATGAGCTATAAATGCCAGTTTTAAAAGTCTGCAGATGCTAGTAGAATGTAAATTTTGGATAATATTCAAGCAAAAAGAAGAACCGTATAGGACCACAAGATTTTCCAAGATCTTCTCCATCAGTGCACTCTCACTTCTCAAAGGTTGCCTAGGCTTTCACTCTAGTCAGTGTCCTGGGACCAACATTATCATATTACAATACCTAAATCTCCTTTACCAGACCCAGACACACAAGGTTCTTTAACACGCAACAACAAAACATATATAGAGAGAGAGACAAGTGGTGGAAATTTCCGCCCAATTCTTTGGACAAAATTTTAGCAACCATCCAGTAGTGTATTCATTTAAAGAAGTCCACCAAAGTCTTGGACAAAATTTATCAGCTATCCAGTACAATGAAGCTGAGGCCATTTAAAAAGGTTAAAATGGACCATTATCCAATAGTCCCCGTTAATCGAGTGCAATGGGAGGGTGGACTGAGGGACAACCAGACTTTGGCTTTATTAGTACAAAATGACGGCTGTTAGAGTCAGACCTGCAATTCTCATGCTTGCAGCCCGAGCTTTTATCACTCACTAGGCAACCACCCCTACCTATTTAAGGAGGTAAGCATCCACAATATGAGTTTAAAAACAGGAAATGATCTTTTATAGAAACAGATGTTACCGTCAAGTAATATGGAAGGATGCCAAACTACTTGAAGAATCCTATAGAGTGTACTGAATACAACTCAAAGCTTAGTTTTTAGAGAAGATTCTAGTTTCAACGGGTCCATATGAACTATTTTTGAGTGCAATGGGAGGGTGCACTGAGGTACAGCCAGACTTTGGCTTTATTAGTACAAAATGGCTGCTGTTAGAGTCGAACCTGCAATAGTCATGCCTGCAGCCCGAGCTTTTATCACTCACTAAGCCACCACACCTACCTATTTAAGTTGGGAAGCATCCACAATATGAGTTTCAAAAGAGGAAATGATCTCAATAGAAACAGATGTTACCGTCAAGTAATATGGAAGGATGCCAAAGTACTTGAAGAATCCTATAGAGTGTACTGAATACAACTCAAAGCTTAGTTTTAGGAGAAGATTCTAGTTTCAACGGGTCCATATGAACTGATTTTCCATCATAGTTTCCAATCAAATTCTTCTTCAAAGGATAAATTCAAATCTAGATCATTTTTTCAAATATCTCCTACAAAGAAAGTAATAATGGAATTCCCCCCTATGTAGTACATAATTAAATAAAATGAGGAGATTCATATTAACAATCATCGAAGGAGAAAGAAATATTTGAATTCTCCTCTCGTGTATTATGGAATTGAACAAAATGAGGAGACAAGTCTTAACAATCATTGATGAAAGAGTATACAGACCACTGGTTATGCAATACACAAATTCCAAAAAAAACTTAAAATGAGCATCCACTTTCAACCAGGTTAAACTCCCATTCTTCTTTTCTTTTTCTCATAAATGATAAGGTCAAAGTCCTCCAGCTATGACTGATAAGGGAAGAGGATATCAATATGTGCCAGTAGTTTATTTTCAAAATTGGTCCTTTAAACAAAATTAATTTTAAAATTAGGTGCTAAACATCACTACTAATGAAATGAATAAAAACCACAAATTGGTTTGGTAACGTACATTCCCAAAGCCTGTGGCCAGTGGTATATCCTCTCTTTTCGCCTTTCAAAGTGAAAGGTCTGCCCAAGAATATAGTGGTAGATCTTTGCCCGGGGGGTGGGGAGGGGTATATCACTATATCCTCTCCTTTCACCTTTGAAAGGTCTCCCCAAGAATATAGTGGTAGATCTTTGCCTGCAGCCGCCGCCGGGGGGGGGGGGGGGGGGGGAGATAGTTTTTTTGGCATGGTCAGTGATCACGAATTCAGTTCTTCCAAAACTAATCATATTCATTCTTAATCTAATTTACATCGTCCATAATGTTCTCCATAAGGGTGTAAAAAGATTAAAAGGTACAATGGCCATTTGGTGTTTCACTGCTCATGAGCTGTATTCTTGATTGCAACTGCATTTATCACCCACAATCTATTAGCATCTTACTCCTGTTCACTAATATTTCTGACCAATTTAAAATTTGAAAAGGTTGCGCTGCTAGAGTGAACTCAGATAGGGGGAAAACTTGAACAACCACTGCAAAAAGACAAGTAATGTTGTGAATAAAGCTAGATAGCTTTGAAATTCAAAACTGATGACTCTGGTATGGGAATTTCTCAGCAAATAACTCCTAAAATAATTCAATACGCTTAACACTATAATACCAATGACTTCCAACTTCTATATATGCCCAAGCTGAAGTAATTCAAAGGATTCTGATACTTCCAAATGCGTAAAGGCATCATCCAATTTTCAAAAAGCCTGTTAAATTGTCAAATATTAAAAGTAAGAATATTGATGCCAATCATAATGGATAGCTGAGTGTCTGGGCCAACATTACAATCCCTTTGGTGGCAAACATGCATAATCTCTCCATGGAAAACTAAATATTTACTTAATGATTAGCCTCAAGCAGATTAAACTTGTTTTCTAGTACAAGTAGCTACAGGGTTCGCTATTACTTTTTACATCGTCCAACCGTTACTGAAGCTTTTGCTGTGGTACAATACATAGTGACTGCATTACGAACTTGATTCACCCCTATGCTTAGCCTGGGAATCGACAAAAAGATGTGCACTATGTTACCCTTTAAATTTAAACAATTTAAAATTGAATAGAGCAAGTGTCTCAAATTATCTTTGCTTAAGCATTTCATAGCATCCTTGTAAGGAAGAACAATTGAAGGCAAACACAATAAACAGTCAAAAGGTTTAAATACAGGGGAAAAAAGGACAAGCGACCAAGTTAATGGCCAGATTCCAATGCAACATTCTTTCCTAATAACTACAAATGCATGAACATGAACCACGTGATACTGATAAACAAACCAATAACTAAATATTTAAGCAAACATATAGTTTAGCTGATTAAAAATTTACTTACTTGCTCTGTATCATCAAGGATCAGCACGGCACTTTCTGCACCGAGCACCACATCAAGACCTTTCTGATGCATCCGTGTGCAATTTTCTTTTGCAATGACTCTAGAGTCAAAATACAACTTTTCAGGGTCAAGCAGCTTTGCCATTTCCATTGCATATGACTGCTCACCCATTGTGTATATGTACATCTCAAATAAGTTGCTTGCTTCTTTTAAAAATGTGCGAACAAAAGGCCGCAACTTGGTCAACATGTGAATGAAGTCTAATCTGAACAGGCTTCCTTTTGAAACATCACCCAATTCACATATTGAATTCCATTTTAAAAAAAATATGTGCACAGTCAAAATTGTGAGATAACAACATAAACTTGAATGATAGGAATATTGAGGAAGAATCCAAGAATCAGAATTGATTCACAAGGACATGATAATTAGCTTAGTTATAAAGGGAAAAATCATATCGTTGCTGATAAGATTGGTCATTTTAAATTTATTGTTTAATTCAAGAAAGACTATTAAGAGAAAACCAAGCTACTAGAATTGTACAACTACCATGAGAGACAATTTGCTCTAACGATAAGAAAGAATAAAATATAGAAGAATTTGTTGGTATCAACAAGATCAACTCAAAGATACTTCCCATTTTGAGATTATTGGCAGCCTCAATGTAACGTACTCAGCACGACTACAAATGATTCCGAGGTTCACATTATCCATTCTATTATGAGCTTTGGGGATAATACCACTTACTAACACTATATCCACGTGACTCTAGCACAATGACATACTATATTTTTTTCACTTCTGCCTGAATTTTGTTAAAACCTAAATGCTATTGGCAAAACAGAAAGATTATCCAAGAATATTTCAAAAAGTTTCCATTTACAAAAGATTATATAATCTTTCACAAAAGCATGCCTTGGTAGACAATTTATAATGTCTATAGAAGATTATGAAGACACCATAATTTCAGCAGTACAAAATATTCAGTGAATAAAGTTAAAGCAGAGGTGCAGTGCCTCACAAATCTTTCTACCAAAGCAAAAGCAAATAACACATAAATATATCATACCTTGCAAAGAATCTCTCTGGCTCTTTAAATATTCTTCTTCAGGTGTTACATCTAGGAATCTAGTTGAATTAAGCAGTGTGTGATCTAAATCAAGAACCAAGTAAAGTTTTTTATGACATAATAAATTCTTGAAGTCTTTGTTGCGTAATCGAGCAATTTCATCCTCAGTGAGCCTTAAATCCTGCATAAATAGATGCACTTATATAAAACACAAATTAAATCAATAGAGAATAGCTATGGAGAATTTGCTAAGTGTAGTCACATTCTTGTGAAATACTCCCTCTGTCCCAATTTAGTTGTCCATCTTTTCTTTTTGGGTTGCCCAAAATACTTGTCCACTTAGAAAGTTCAAATAACATATTTTACATCTTTTCATAAAATGCCCTTGAAGTTTTAAAAATTTTCAAACTTGATTATATATATTTAAACTTGAAAGGGTAACTTAGTAATTTTCAAAGGGGACAATGCAATAATAACATGTCCCCTTAAAAAATTCTACTCCCCAAAATGGATCTAATATGGGACAGAGGGAGTACTATGTATGTTTAGATGTCCTGAAATCTATAAAAGCTGGTTTGAAGCTCTCCTTTTTAAAGAGCAAAAATAATTATGACATTCAAAATGAAGATCTATAACATTTTGAATAGGTCATTGCTGATTGAAAGTGCATCATTCCTCAACATACTGAATCAAAGAAGAAAATCCACTTATTCTTTTCCAATTGGTGAAATAAAAGAACTATATAAATTTAGCAAAATCACAATTCCATGACTTAATTGATTCAAAGAGGATGACCTTATGTATATACCCCAATGGCACACCAGAACCATCATCCATCTTTTTGCCACAACGTATGCACATTCCTCCAATATCGCCGGGATGTGCACACATATCCTTCTCTACAGACACTTCTGCACACAAATAACAAGTTAGGAAATGGTGTCCGGACACACCCCACACAATAACACTCTAGGCGAATGTGAACTAAAATGGTGCATATATGCAGATGTATCACAAAACCTATTTCTTGTCAAAGAACAGAAAGATACAGGTACTTATTTGGATAATGAAAGGTGCTCTGCAGAAATAGTAAAACACAATTACTGAAAAGAGATCAACGAAATAGTTCAATGTAATAAGAGATGGAGTGAGAGAGAGAGAGATGCACACCACATACATGCATGCATGCATGCATGAGTCCATTAAACACTCTTTTCACAAAATTCAACATCTCTGTTATGGTGTAGGCAAACAAATTATATGCATCAAGAAAACATAACATTGTTGAGACTTTACTTGCCCTCACTTTTAATAAACACTTGGCTCCATTGATCAAGACCAATGAAATTCAGTTTCTAAATAGAACTTATTCTCTTTTCAACCTAGTCTCTATAAGCTTCTAAACTCTATATAAAGACCACACATGTTCAGAAAACCTAATAAGCAATCTCTTAATATAAAAAGAGCCTCCATATATGTTCCATAATTGCTAGCAACTATAGAGCATAATAGCATATCAGAGTATAATCTAACAATTCTCTGCAATATTTTCTTTCTTTCATACTTCATCATAGCATAAGATGGTGAGAGTATGTTCTTGGAGAGTTGATCATCAACTATTATTGTGCTAACGGAAAATTCAACACCAAAATGGTTCTACACAACAAACATGCAGCATGGATGTTACTAGTCATAGAGATCAACGTGTTGATGGAGAAGCAGATTGCCTGAGGAGATAGAGACTTGAATGGAGAGTTTGGCATTAGTCTGTAACAAAATGTAATTAGGTTTTTAGGATTTGGGAAATGACTTTCTCATAGTGGATTTGATCTGCCTATAGTAGGCCCAGTGGGGTTTCCCTTTAGGTTTTCCAAATAAATATCTGCCATAGCTTGTTTAATATTACATGTTTTTATATGCTTTCAAACCTGGTGAATGATTCAATTTACATGCTATTTAGTTGCTTTAATTTTGAATTTTTGCTATTTCTGTTATAATTCAAAAATTAGTTAGATTTGGTTAATTAGGCAATTAAAACCTATTTAAACCATCTATGTCTAGATCAGAGCCTTGCGTCGTCAATGCACATAGATATCAAACAATAACCTTAAAAATAAAATAAAATATGGAAATAAAATCAATGTTATATTAAGTTATTAACCAAGAAAACATGGTCAACAACCAATACAGGGTATCTATTAACGCCCTGAAGCTATTATGCCGTTAAAATAACATTAATATTTTCCTCGTGAAGCTACATGGCAATAGCTAAGTAAGAACAATTACAAGTACCCATCAAATATGATGAGAATATGCACTAATGTATGAACCAAAGTAATAGATATACAACTGAATTAGAAAACATCACCTAGACATTTTTCTGGAGCACCAAGTGAAGTTGAACCTTGAAAATCTTCTACTTTTTCTAAAACCACCTTACACCTTTTAATCCTGCAACATTTAAATATTCAAAAAATGCCAATAGTATTTCAGGAAACAAAGCAGTTACCTAACATATGCAGAGAATGTGAAAAGGAACTACGACTGTTAAAAATATTTCTTTTGGACAAGGATTCACTCCATTCTTCTTCGTTGTTTTGCTGTTGTATTCAATAGGCAATTGTTAATTTTCACTTTTTATTGATGACATAGACACGTGGTGCAATATTGTTCTCTGAATCAATAAAAATAAGATAAAATATAACAGAACAGTGGAAATTACCTTTATCTTTTACTTTTAGGATCTCTTGCAACAAAATCAACGATAAGGGCAAGATCAGGTTGACATCCCTGTTAGTATTTTATCTGTGGCGTTAGGAATTCCTTTTCCACCTTTTTTTTTTTTTCATCAAATGGCAAAAGGTAGATATCATTATTGGATTATCAAAGCTGAAATAAAATACTTTGCACTTATCTGGAAATGTGAACTCTCACTAGCTGCCTGCTTTGTTGCCAGGAAAAATGGTATATTGATTTAGCAGTAAAGTTGTGTGGTACTTCACTCACTGATACACGGTTGCCAGCTTTCAGCAGAACAAAATTTTGAACAGAAAGGACTGATTTAACTTTTGGTTTTTTACAAAATGACTTTTAAGATTTGAACCCACGCCTATGATATTGATGTTTAAGTACTGAACTTTTGAACCAGACAACGGCCCTCATTGTTGAAGAAGATGAAGCAGAAAGAATTTTCTACTTAGAAGTATTTCCCCAACTTAATTGGTAAAACCATTTGCTCATGATGGGGAATACATCTTAATGAAACTAACAAGAATGGATCAATCCAATAGTAACCATCCATAATGGCATATTCGTGACGAATATAGTCTGGAGTGAAAAAAATCAGGCATTGTGCAACACCAGGTTATTTGCACTATGCCGTTAGGCACTGGTGTAACTGATTATTATTTGAACCCTGCTTTTATATTGGCTCATCTTTCTTGATTATATAACAAGTATAAAGCAAAACATAATTTACATATCTAAGGATGAGAGGGATGATGCTGATGATTTTAGATAAATAACACTGAAGAATATTGATTGATTAATTTACTCACATTCTTGTTTACTTTGTACTATATAATATATACTTAATATCCAAATAAAAACTAATATGAATTGAAAGCACATAAAACACAACCCAAAATCTAAATTCATCTGGTACAAAGATTAATCCTAAAGTTCCAAGAAAAAGTTTAGTTTTAACCAATAATTAAAAAAAAGCAGAGTAATACCTCTTCTCTACATTGGAGTCATAGTCGGCCTCGTCGTCGTCTTCGTGTGGTGAAGTATCAGAAGTATAATCTAACTCCGCGTCAAGAAATGCAGCAAAGTCGTCGCTGCTTGATGAGTGTACCGGAGAATCGGTCACAAGACTCATCTGAAATGCAACAAAAATGCACACCTTAATTAATACATTTCAATGAATGATTATAGAATTTTAACGGAATAAAAAAAAAAAGTATGATTATAGATTCAGCACAAACACATTGCATTAACATTCAACAGCATGAAGATTATTTATTTAGAAATTAGAATTAAAAAGTATCAAACCCAGTTTTGATGGTAGATGGCAGGTCTCAGTATTAATTTGCAACCCTAATTTTTTATTGGAGGATTTGGGGATCTCTCCGCTGCATTCCCAGGACCTATATCTAAGGGTTATAAAAAGCCCACCTCATCTAAAAATTCACTCAATAACAGCACTGCGTCGTTTGGGGCCAGAAGGCAACCAAAACTTTGGATAAATAGGAAATAAATAAATAGCATTTCTGCTTGAAAAAGATAAATGTGAAAAAAAAAAAAAAAAAAAAAACTATTTTAACTAATTTACTAAATTATAATGCACTAAAACTATAATTTGACCCCAATAATTTTAAATTTCTAAGATCACTTGGAGCATCTTGAATGGTTTTCTAAATATATATATATATATATATATGATGTGTATAGATTTACACAAAAATTTTGAGCTATTCATTTTTTTCTTCAGCCATTATTTTATACTTTTGTGTAAAAATGTATTTACAAATAGCAACCACCCATAACTGTGTAAAAAATTTATGCCAAATATATACATAATAATTTTTCACATTGATAAAATGACAATTTATCTTAACATACCTCTAAAGATTAAAAAAAAAAAAAAGAAAAAAAGAAAAAGAAAAAGATATGAGTAGTGATAACACACCGAATACTCAAGAAGGTGTGTATTTTTGTTGCTTTTCAGATGAGTAACCTAACCAAATGATTTTGTATACCATAATTATTCACATCTTAATTATTCACTTCTTAAAATTCTTCTTTTTGTACTAATGTATGATATATGTAATATGTAACTTTTTTTCTTTTTTAATTCTTCTTATTTAAATTTATTAATTTTATGAACTCAATTGTTGAATCTTTTTGTTTTGCTTTCAAAATCCAAAAACTTGTCGAAAACAATTGTAATTGTATTATATAAAAATATTATTCATCATTTTTTTTCTTTTAGCTCAACAGTTACATATGAAATTCAATATTCATTTTGTTTTACTACTACGTACATTTTATATGTGCACTTCTTTTTTCATCGTGCCCATTGGAATCTTCTCCTACCAGATCCATATGATCACAGGTGAGGTTGACACATGCATCTCTTTTCAACTTTTCTTTGTAGCTTCCTAAATTATTTTTAAGCATTCTAATCTTCCTCTCACCACTTTTTTATATATGGATATAGCCAGAATATTTTAATTCAGAGGGAGAGTAGTGTAAAAAAAAAAAAATTATAATTTAAATAAAAAGAACAAAAAAAAAATACATACTATATATATCATTTTTAAGTACAAAAAGAAGAATGTTAAGAAGTAGGGGACCCAAAAAAATTTAATAAGAAGAAGAAGAAAAAGAATTGAAGAAAAATGAAAAATTTGAAAGGAAAAAAAATTAGAATTTGAGTAAAAAAGAAAAATTTAACATTTTTTTAAGGAAATCAAATGAATATTAAGAGCAAAAGAAAAATTTACAAAATAATTTTAGAAATTAAAATTTTAAGGGAGCATTATATAGAAATTTTCTTATAAATGTACAAATTAAAATAAAAATTATTATATTTTATAGTGGGCCGGACTAGGCCAGCAGGGGAAAATGTGCCGGGCACACATTGACTCCGCTCCCGTAGATATCTAGATATATATATATATATATATATATTATTTTCCATCTCACAATCTTTATATATATATATATATATTATATTTCTATCATTTTCTTTCAACTTCATAATTATTCAGTGTTTGTCAAACTCGTTATTAAAAACCTTTATTTAAAAAGCGGAGTTGTCAACAGAATGGAGCTTACTTGCCACCCATAACTATTTTGGATATGACAGACACTTATCAATATACCAACCCCCTTAAATACAACGTCAATTATTTATGTATATACTTAAAAAACAAATACGTAAGAAACATATAAAGCTAACCGAAAAAAAAAAAAAAAAAATATCACAAATTTGTTAACAAAGTTAAGTGGGATCGATCCGAATTCTAAAATACACGTATATATTTACATATTTAAGAATAAATATAGATTTTGTAGATGAGTCGGTATTTACAAATAATACCTCTCTTAGTCTGTATCTAATCATTAATTCAATTACCTATTCCACAACGATTAATTTTTTTTTAGAGTTGAACACTAGTAAGTACAATTTTTTTTTAAAAATACAACTTTCAAATCAAAATACATTAAAAATTTAAAACCAAATACCTAACATAACCCTGTCTCACTCAACTCGACAAAGCCCAATTGGAGACCACAATACTTATATTTTGAGTTGTGTTAGAGATTATCGAGATATATAATATTAATCATGGTATAGATTATGTTTTGGAATCAAATCAAGGAAAAAAATTTGTAAAAGGAAATGGGAATGAAACAGAAAATATATTCTACTACTGTCCTCTAATATGCCACGTGTACACTACATTTGCATAACCAATTGAATATTTAAGGGTACACGCGTCACTCAGAAGGACAAAACTGTAATTTCAATCCGACGCAGGCTCCCTTTTGGCCACGTAGAAATGTAGAATGAACAGCTAAACTCTGTTTTGTCAACAACGTCTACGACAGCAATAGTTTTCATTACGTTACCTTTTGCCTTCCTCAATTTGGTGTTGAATTCTCTCTACAATTAATTATTCAATAAAACAAGGATTTAATTGTTTCCTCAGTTTATTTTCTTTAATCTTGGTTCAGCTCTGTTTGGGTTCAGAGAAAATAGGATTGTTTGATTCTTGATAGAACCAGAACAATGGGACTTGTGAGTAGTTTATTCGGAATTATTGGATTCGGAATTGGAATCCTACTTGGTCTTTTTCTGGGTTTTCTCATATTTATATACTTCGAGCCCAGAGATGTAAAGGTAATGTATATTCAATAGGTATATTACTTCTTTATTTTCATCACTGTCTATATTTGTTTGATCATTTTTCAGTCAATATATATATATATATATATATATAGCAACTTTTTGAATACAAGTGGCATTTGCTTATTGTATATTTCACTCATATTCTGTAGATAAACCTGTGTTTTTACTTGTTTATATCGAATTATAATTCTCAGAATCTAGGGGATTGTAGATTTTTTTCTGTCAATTTTTAAGATTTATTTTTGTGATCAATTACTTTCAACAAGCTTGATTGAATTTAATTTTTCACTATTTGAGTTTATATCTAAGTATTGATGTATGTTTACCTGATAATTGTTTAGGGATGTGACAGTTACTATTATAGCATTTTCCTTTTGGATTGAGTATGCATTTTATTTATATATGTGGTCATTGTAAGTCCCTTAAACTTTATGTTAATTAACTTAATTTGATATGGTTTTAGTGATCGATATGCTGGTTTACTCTTTCTAAAATCTATATTTAGTTAGTTGATTAGCTCTTCCTGCATATTTTTTATTTTATTTTTGTTATTAATCACTTTATCAATAAATGTTCCTAATTTTAAAATGTGCAAAGAAACACATTTAACAAGAAATTGGATGTTCTCAGCATTTTGGTGCATTTAAATTTCTTGGACCTACACTTGCAGGATCCAATTATTAGGCCACTTCAAGAGTTTGATTCAAGCTCCTTGCTTGATCTTTTGCCTGAGATTCCATTGTGGGTGAAGAGTCCAGACTATGACCGAGTGAGAAATTTGCCTTTTTTCTTCTTCGTTTTTCGTTTGCTCCTAAAAGCAACATAAGTTTATTTCTGTTATGACACTAGGAGCAAACATAAGTTTATTTCTGTTATGACACTATAATCTGTCTTTATAATCGTGTAGGTCAATTGGTTGAACCGCTTTATTCATGATATGTGGCCTTACCTTGATAAGGTGATACAAAAATCTAAAAAATATATATATATATATTTCGAAATCTGCCAATTATGTTATATTGATTGATAAGTTTTTGGGCATTGAGGTGTAAAATTTGACTTGAAATGATATTCACAATTTTTTTTACCCCGAGTTGATTTCTACTACAGGCGATATGCAGTCAAATAAGAAGCAGAACAAAGCCTATATTTGCGGACTATGTAGGCAAGTTTCAGATACAATCAATAGATTTCGAGAGCCTGACTCTCGGAAATCTTCCTCCTACGATTAATGGTTAGTATAGCTTCAATAGTTGAACATTCCACAAATTTTAGGCGCATAACATTCATACGGTATTTTATAAATTTCCTTCGGTATTGCTGCCTTTTCAATTCATAATTTTTACAGCCTAAAAATGTTAGAAGAAATTTGGTTGCATAAGCTTTTATCAAAGTTATGGTCCTTGAACCTGTTGGGGTTGCTCGAATGGGTAAGGTCTCGGGTTACTACCTTGAGGCCTCAAGTTCGAGTCTTGGTTTAACCGATATAGCCATGCGTCCAAAGGGTGCCTGTTTGGAACGGTTCCACTTCATAATATACACATATATAAATAAATATACATATGTATGCATATATGGTCCTTCCCAAAAAGTTGGTATAATACTTTCTTTAAGTTTAGCTAGGATATTTGCAAGTTCAAGCCCATAGCCTATAAAAGAGAAGTATAAACAACTTGTTCGGGTAGGCTGCAGGGCCAGTGCAGAGCAACATATAAGCAGATACTTTCTTTTGCACAATCCATGAGATCCATCTAGTTTAAAATTTATATTGTTTGGTGTAATATGATCATCTGAACTTACCATCAATTTGGCAGGTATTAAAGTACATGAATCGAACGAGAAGGAACTAGTTTTTGAGACCACAGTTAGATGGGCTGGAAATCCCAACACAATATTGGTGCTAGAATTGTTGTCTCTACGAATCTCAATACAGGTTGGAAAATCTTACAAACCAAAATTATCAGACAGTAAGACTGAAAAAACCATGTTTCTTAAAGAAGTGATTATGCTTATTGTCAGTTGATAGATTTACAAATATTTGCTACCTCGCGGATAATTTTGAAACCTTGTGTGCCAACCTTCCCTTGTTTTGCGAGCATCGTAGTATCATTGATTGACAAGGTAAGTGGCAATGCAAAATTTTGTAGTTTTCGTAAACTTTGAACCAATTGTTTGTCTAATTTTTCGAGTTACTGTTTTCCAACGAAGTGGCACAACATTAAGAAATACTTATGACATGTATTTATTATACATGTAGCCACATGTAGACTTCGGGTTGAAAGTACTGGGAGGGGATGTTATGGCCATCCCAGGTTTGTATCAATTTGTTCAGGTGCTCTCTCTCTCTCTCTGGCTTTAAGTTTAGATTTTAAAAACTGAATACCGCGTTTTATGTTCATTTTGATCATTAAGTTTGACAAGCTCACACATATTGGCAATGAATGGAATGCATAAATGGTGCTTTAACAACTGTTTTATATTTTTATATAAATTGGTCATGTTTCTTAATTATTACTACATAGTTTCTTCAGTTTTCTATTCATGAGGTCCAATTGGTTGAGTCGATCCTTTTGGCGGTGGAAGATCTGCTGACCTGACTGTCTGAGGTATAAATTAGTTCAGAAACTTGATAATGAAATTAAAAGTTAAAACCCACAAAATCATTCAATCCCATCTACCATCCAATCTGCTTATTTATTTCAGTTGGCTTTAGTTATTCGTATCTGATGAAATTACGAAAAGGGTTTTGCTGGAAGATGAAATTAAATAATTTATTGTTTGTTGTGATCCATGAAGAGCTGATTCTGCTAAAAATTCTGTCAGCAAGATAAGGCATGTCTCGAATGGGTGAAATTGGGTTTGAAAATACTGATATGGAAGGAAGAACATAGGGAATCATTAGTAAACTTCCCAAAAATCAAAGCTGAAAGACAATTTATCCAAGTGATCTGCATTCTCAATTTATACTCTAAAATTTAATGGCAAAATAAGGGGAGAAAAAATGGAAAAGAAAAGAACTTCTATGTGCTGCATAGTTCTGATAAAAAAATATAAGAATGATATTTTAATTAATAACTTAGAATTATGACATACCAGGTTCAAGTTGGAATGAAATATTGTAATATTCTAGGTTCACTTTTCTGTTTCCATGTATCTCTAGACAGTTCAAAAGAACGTAAAGGTTTCAACTTTATACTTGTGTATACATATATGCACGAGTACTTGTGTTATATGTTGCGAAATTAAACAGAAAACACAAGAAAGAGATTAAGCACACATACAATAAGAACACATAGATTTTACTTGGTTTACCCAAAATTCAGGGTTACATCCCAGGGTTGTAGGGATTTCACTATGATGATCAAAACAACAGCGGATACAAAGAGTTTAGAATGAATAAATACCCTCGCACTAGGGCAACATAACAAGTTGGATCTGCAGAGTTTGGCCTTGGTGTACAGTATCTATCAGGCTCCGCACTACCCATCATTATATACTTGAATGCAAGTATGAATTAATTAGGATTTTTTTGTTGTTGTTTTGGTAATGGAATTTATTGGTATTTTGCGACACCATAGTTATACACAGTCAAAAAGTCTTGGAATTTTGAATTCATATATACAATCTTGAATTAAAGTCTCATTGAACTTCTTTGTTGTTATGCTTGAACTTCGTGGTCTGTAAAACTAATATGAAATAAATTTTTGGTTGGTAGCAGGAAACTATCAGAAAACAGGTGGCCAGCCTCTATCTCTGGCCAAGAACTCTTGAAATTCCTATCCTTGACAGTTCAGTGTAAGTCTCGTAAGAATGAAAGTAATAACAACTATAATCATAGCAGCAATTAGCAGCCGGATATATTTCTTCTTCTTGCCTACCTGTTTGAGTTGAGACATATTTAGCTAATCATGTACAAGAATCTGGTTCTATTACAACTTGTTAAAGTATTAAATGACGAAATTAAAATCATTTAATTGCGAAATTCAGTACTCTTTCTTGGCCCTTTTTCCCTGTACTATTTTTTAGCAGAAATGACCACTGAAATGTGTCTCATTACTTTATGATAGCGGAGCTGTGAAGAAGCCAGTTGGTATCTTGCATGTCAAAGTTCTGCGGGCATGCAGACTCTTGAAGATGGACTTGTTTGGAACATCAGATCCTTATGTTAAACTCAGCCTAAGCGGGGAGAGGCTTCCGGCAAAAAAGAGTTCTGTCAAAATGAACAATCTGAACCCTGAGTGGAACGAGGACTTCAAGCTTACCGTAAAGGACCCTGAGTCTCAAGTCCTTGAAGTAAAGGCCTATGATTGGGAGAAGGTTTAGAATCTTGTTGCCTTCTCATAATTTACTTCCTTATATATTTCTTTTCACTGAAGTAAAACGAAAAAAGAAAAATCATTTTTGAATTAAACACTAACATTTTTTTGGTAGCGGAAAAACATTTGCCCTACCCAATGGTTTCTTTGTCACTATTATTTGATAATGAATGAAAGTTTGCCTGCTGTTAGTACTGCAAACTAGCAATAGCAGACTCACAGAAAGAAGTACCCAAACATGTTGCTTTGTTCTGAAAATGATCATAAATGTATACACTCTTCTTGATTTTGTTTATATTATTTATTTCCTATAAAGCAAAGGGTACCTTCAAAACAAAATTTAGATGGAGTTGGGACCTGAATTCAGGACAAGGTGGTTATCGTGTTCTAAATTGAGATTGAAAGCTAAGATTCTGTTTTCTGATACACAGGTTGGGGCACATGACAAATTGGGAATGCAAGTAGTCCCACTGAAATTGCTCACCCCGCACGAGACTAAGGAACTCACGCTTGATTTGCTTAAGAACACAAATCCAAATGACCCTCAAAACAAGAAGCCTAGAGGGCAAATTATGGTGGAGATGACATTTGTTCCATTCAAAGAGGACAGTGAAAGATTTAGTGGACTTATTCATCGACATGTAAAGAATCAAAGTGTTCGAAAAGTATCTGAAGAATTGTCCTTGAGCGGAGCCGGTTTACTTATGGTTACAGTCGTAGGTGCCGAGGATGTTGAGGGGAAGCATCACAACAACCCCTATGCTTTTATCCTTTTTAGAGGAGAAAAGAAGAAAACCAAGGTGAATTTAGAATTTATGAACCCTGTTTGCTTACATACATTGTTGAATCGGTTTTGCAAGTGCTTAATTGTGTATAGCTCATCTCATGGATTAATGCGGTTTTTTTCTCCAGCTGATCAAGAAATGTCGGGACCCAAGTTGGAACGAAGAATTCCAATTTATGTTAGAGGAGGCTCCTTTGAAAGACAAAATTCACATTGAAGTCATGAGTAAAAGGAGAGGATTTGGATTCCGATCAAAGGTAGGATCATAGTCTTTTGTTTTCTCAAGTTTCTCTCTTGTAATTTAAGAAAACACGAGCACTAATATTATGTTCTGTGTAGGAATATTCACTGGGGCACGTAGACATCAATCTTATCGACGTAGTCCATAACGGGCATATTAATGAAAAACATCATCTGATAAATTCAAGAAATGGTGTAATACATGTTGAGATGCGGTGGAAGGTGATCTGATAACAGTCCTACACTTCAAAATTTTCAGTTCCAGTTCTGGCTGTCTTCACATGAGTTTTTGCTTCCTTAATTATATTTGTAAATTCCCAGAATCACATTACTGTATAGACAAAATTAAAACAATAAAGTGCACAAGTATTACTTCTTTTTTTCTCTTCTTTTCCAGCAGTTATTTTATTGCTGTAAGATAACATTTTGGTATAAAATGCAGAAGAGTATCAAATGGTGATTGGGAGTGACCAGTTTTTAGCTTCGTCCCATCTATTTGGAATTGTGACATTTAGATATTGTGATTGAAGTCATAATATTTGTAAAATATATATATTTTTTGGTTTTTACCATTCGAAAAGGGTTGTAGCCACTGGATTTGGCTTTTACACAGTAATTTTTCAGTAAGATCTATCACGTTGTAATAGAATCAAATAGAAAGGATACTATACATGCATCGGCTCATTCAATTCGTACGTGTACAAGAAGAACGGTTCGAATAAGTCTGGTGCATAATGTGTTGAGCACACTAATTATCTTTTCCTTATAAGTTTTCTTAGACTTTTGCAGAGTCCATTTAATCTAGTTTTTGTTAAATATAATGGCAATTATGTGCATCAATGTTGATGCAGGTGAGATTCCTACATTTTTCACTCTATAAATGTATTTCTATAACTGATTGACTTCATATTATAAGTTTTATAACCAAACCTCATTCCAAGCTTCAGGCCAACATGTTTGATATTCTATTATTTGATAGAATAACTAATTGTTACGTTTAGCTTTATGAAATTAGTTTTTCAATAATTTTGAGAACAAAAAATAATTTTTAAGGATTTATTTGATTTGTCACTTAAAAAAATAATTTTTAAAAATTTAGAAAACATAAAAACTGTTTCAGAAAATTATAAAAGACAATCGTCTTGTTTTGAATTTTTTATGACTGAGTTCTTATAAAATAGATTTAAAAAATAGTTTTCGTCAAAAATTTTGTACAATGTTTTTAATTTTTAGTTATCTGAAAATAAATTTTCTAAAACGATCCTTTTTGGTTTAATTTTTTAATCCCATTCAGAAAATTGTGCGTACATTTACGAAATTGAAAAGCTAAGACGCAAGTCTGAACCTAAGGGTGGGAAGCAAGGACGGAACCGGCGGTGATGAAAGGACGGCGGAGCAGCGCGGTTGGGTCAGACGGCGTGGGTGTAGAGTAAAGGATTTTGTCGTCCTTTGCCTACTGCTAAGATGAGCTCGACACAAGGGGCTTTGGTGGTGGCGGTGGCGGTGGTGGTGACCACCCACCTTCCTCGCCGACTGCAAATTTCTTGGCCTTATGTGAATACGTTGAGGAGACAGGAGAGAGGAGAGAGATTGGATAGGGAAATAGTTTGTGGATAATTTTGTCATTTCACTTGTTGTGTTTTATTTTTTTTTAGTATTTTACATAATAAGGCTATTTTAGTTATTTAACAAGACTTTCACCGGGACCTAACTCCGGTCACATTAGAGAGAGTTTATGTAATTTTTTACACCGTTTGCAAGTAATTAGGTCACTAATGGGGAGGTTAGTGGTATTTTTCCATATTATTTAGGGATAATTTCACTGACATTCCCAGTAATTTGATCAAATATCAGTTTAAAATATTTTTCGAAAATAACTATCACTCACATTATAAACGTTTGCTCCGTTTTTTTTCACACCCCAGAAGTTAATTGACAGGTGTGTCAGACTACTTTTTACATGTAAAAAGATATTCTTATCCTTTGACTTTGGTTTGACCCACTTAATGACATGTTTACCCTCATTTGACTTTAATTTGACTAATTAAATTATTTTTTTAAATATTCAAATGACATTTTTACCCCCCCCCACACTCAAGATATATATTACACACAAGCACAACACCACCAACATCGGCGACCACCACCAACACCGGCGAGGATTCCAATTTTCCTCATATATATATATTATACACACAAGCAAACCCACTATTGCAGAATTCCAATTTTCCTCATCCCTTTGTCCGTCTAATAATCAGATGAGGATGACAGATCCAGGCAACACTGATATATATACACACACACACAAGCACAACACCACCACAACACCGGCGAGGATCTCGGCGCAGGAGACGGCGGCGCATCAGGTGAAGGAAACGACGGCGGGGCAGGTGCGCCATCATGGTGACGAGCTCTCGGGCAGCGAAGGCGATGTGTCGGCACAAGAGACGACGGTAGGGTAGGCGAGATCGAGGGCAGTCTTGGTGCGGACAAAGACATCGAAGGCGTCGCCGAGGAGGGAGAGGTTGATGTCGAACCGGCGAGTCACCAAAGCATTTCTGAAATTGGAGGTTTTTTAGAGAGAGAAAGGGGAAATTCTGAAATTCGTCGTCGCCCATCATCTTCGGGATGTCGGATTACAACCTCGACGGCCATCACCCATCACCCGCCTTGCGCCGCCCATCATCTGAAATTTGTCGTCGCCATCATCGTCTGAGTTAGAATCGGTGGTGGCGAAGGTTCGAGTTAGCACCTCCACTGGCGACACACCACCATCACCATATCGCCACCTCCACCAACGTGGTCTTCAATTTTCGGTTGAGTGTGTGTGTGTGTGTAGGACTTCCCAGAAAAGAGTCATTTTAATTGTAAAATTTAAATAAGGGTATAATAGTAATTAGGTTATCTGATACTTTGGAATAAATATGATTAAAAAATTAGAGACAAACATGTCTTTTTTCATGTTTTTAACGAAGGACCTAAGTGATAGTTATTTTCGAAAGGTATTTTAGACTGATATTTGGCTAAACTATTCGGGTGTCAGTTAATTTATCCCTATTATTTATTAAGTACAAACTTGGAATTCTGCATCTTGCCACGTCAGCTGAACCTCACGTTTTAAACTGCGTTCTCTGAAAACACAAAACCCTAGTGCTCCGCTGCTACGCCTCTGTAAACACTCTCAGATCGAATCCCTCCTCCCTCTCTGTAAAGTCTAAACTGAACCCTGCAACAATCGAACCTAGTCTTTATTCTCTCTCTAAATTCACATGAAGATCGACGCTTGACCACAAAAGCCCACTGAGTTACACACTTTTCACCTACTATCTCACGGAATAAAGGAAAAATACGCAGAAATGGCCTATATTTCTGCATCAAAGCCATCCCATTTCAAACCTAGAGTTTACTCTGAACTGTCTAGGTTTTCAAATCCATTTTCCCGTAAATCCCTCTATTTCTTCTGCTCGTCATCTTCTCCAGAACCCCCAATTGACACTTCACTCACCTCCAGTAACTCAACCCCGAACCCAAATTCAGATGCCACCATTTCGCCATTTCCAGATGTGCCGGAAAGCCCGAAGGTCGAAGAGAGGGCAAATCGAAGAATCCCAGGAGGTAAGCATCGAAACCAAGAAACTTTAGAGAATATTATATGTAGAATGATGGCAAAGAGGGCTTGGACAACTCGTTTACAGAACTCAATTCGAAAATTAGTACCTAAATTTGAACACGAGCTTGTTTATAGTGTATTGCATAAAGCCCGGAATGCGGAGAACGCGCTCCAGTTCTTCCGGTGGGTTGAGCGAGCTGGGTTGTTCCAGCATAATTTAGCAACCCACTTGAAAATAATTGAAATTTTAGGTCGAGCTTCGAAGCTCAATCATGCCCGGTGTATACTACTAGATATGCCAAAGAAGGGTGTGGAATGGAATGAAGATTTTTTTATCCTGTTGATTGATAGTTATGGTAAGGCGGGCATTGTTCAAGAGAGTGTAAAGTTGTTTCAGATAATGGAGGAGTTGGGTGTGGAGAGGACTATAAAATCGTATGATAGTTTATTTAGGGTGATTATGCGCAGAGGGCGGTATATGATGGCAAAGAGGTATTTCAATAAGATGTTGAGTGAAAATATAATGCCTACTCGTCAGACATATAATGCTATGATTTGGGGTTTCTTCCTTTCTTTGAAGGTTGAGACTGCGAATCGATTCTTTGAAGATATGAAAACTAGAGAGATTTCGCCTGATGTAGTGACTTATAACATTATGATAAATGGGTATTACCGGGTCAAGAAGATGGAAGAGGCCGAGAAATTTTTTGTGGAGATGAAGGGAAGAAACATAGAGCCCAATGTGATAAGTTATACCACCATGATTAAGGGGTATGTTTCGGTCGGGCAACTTGATGATGGGTTGAAATTGTTTGAAGAGATGAAAAGTTTTGGTATTGAACCGAATGCTTTTACATACTCTACTCTGATACCTGGGCTCTGTGACGCTGAGAGAATGAGTGAGGCTCATAACATTTTCAAGGAGATGGTAGGGAGATACGTTGCTCCTAAGGATAATTCAATCTTCATGAGATTGATCTCTGGCCAGTGCAAGGCAGGTGATTTAGATGCAGCTGCAGATGTGCTCAAATCAATGACTAGATTAAGCATTCCAACAGATGCCGGACACTATGGCGTTGTAATTGAGAATTTTTGCAAGGCTGGGGTGTATGACAGGGCAGTTAAATTGTTAGATAAGCTTATTGAGAAGGAAATCATCTTGAATGACAAGAGTACTTTGGAGTCTAGTTCATATAACCCAGTAATTATGTATCTCTGCAACAATGGCCAGACAGAAAAGGCTGAAACCCTTTTCCGACAATTGATGAAAAAGGGTTTGCCAGATCCAATTGCTTTCAATAATCTTATCCGTGGGCACTCAACAGAAGGGACTCCTGATTCTGCTTTTGAAATTTTGAAGATCATGGTCAAGAGACATGTTCCTTCAGAAGGAAGTGCTTACAAGTTGCTCATTGAGAGCTACTTGAAGAAAGGTGAACCAGCAGATGCTAAAACAGCTTTCGACAGTATGATTGAACAAGGACATCTTCCAGATTCATCACTATACAGGTCATTAATGGAGAGTTTGTTTGAAGATGAGAGAGTTCAAACAGCAAGCAGAGTGATGAAGACTATGGTGGAGAAGGGGGTGAAGGAGAACATGGACTTGGTTGCTAAGATCTTGGAAGCTCTGCTCATGAGGGGTCATGTTGAGGAAGCTCTTGGAAGAATTGAACTGCTGATGCATAGTGGATGTGCACCTGATTTTGACAGTCTTTTATCCATTCTGTGTGAGAAAGGAAAAACCATTGCTGCTCTGAAGCTTTTAGATTTTGGTTTGGAGAGAGACTGTAACGTTGACTCGTCAAACTACGATAAGGTGTTGGATGCGCTTTTGTCAGCCGGAAAAACCCTCAATGCATATTCAATATTGAGTAAGATAATGGAGAAAGGAGGAGTCACTGATAAGAGTAGCTGTGAGGGTCTGATCAAGAGCCTCAATGAGGAGGGAAATACGAAACAAGCTGATATTCTTTCAAGGATGATGGTGGGAGGGAATAAAACCATTGGCAGCAAGAAAGGGAAGAAACAAGCATCCATGGCATGATGATTTCAATATTTGCTTTTCTTTGTTCTTGCATTTCTAAGGTGAGAATTTATGTTCAGTTGGACTTTGAGAAAGGCAATGAGAGGTTTCGTTTTGAGCAAAATAAGTTCAGGAATTGAATGTAATCTGTTTAATTTTTCCATTTGAATCCAGGGGTTTCTCATTTATGCAAGCATCATGTTTGTTATTTAGTCTACTTTTGTCTGAGAAGAGGAGAAGAAAGTCTACTAAATGGGAAGCAATCCTTCTGATGAGCAAGATCAGGGAGTTCATGGTTGTGAGCTTCACTTTAATTTATTTTTTGTAGCATCCCATGGAAGATGTCTCAAGTGTTTTTTTTTTTTAGGGCAGCCCTAGTTCACTCGTTAAAAACACTACTCTGAAAGTTGCTTGTTTGTAATTGTTGACTTGATATTTTTTCCTACAGAGGAATTCACTCACAGAGTTGTATTTTAATCGCGAATGTCCTACCTCATACTAACGTCAACAAGTCATGCGCAAGATATCCATGCACTGTCAAATTTACACACCAATTAGACTAAAGACACCCAATTTTGACACCTAATTTAAGAGTAAAAACACCCAATTTTGACACCTAATATGAGTGTAAAAACATCCATATAATCCAATACGTAAACTTAAATTACTGACAATAGAAATGCTTTTCTTACATGGCGCAATAATTAAACAATAATTATAATTGCATAAACAGAAAAAATGTGGTTTGAAGGTCTGCACCAAATTATGTTAATGTGATGTGATTTTATTGCCGAGCTCCAAACTCATGAATTTGGTCAAACAAAAGAAATTTTCCTACGTCATTTGTAAAGCACTTAATCTGTTCAGTTTCATGCTGGAAAGTGCCCTGTATAGCTTCACAAATATAGTGATCAGAGTTTTCTTGAATAAAATTCAAGGTTTGTTTTCATCAGATTAATAGATACTATTTACCTAAAATGTTTAATAATTTCAGTGTCACTGCTTGAAATTTGAAAGATATATATACTCGTCAAAGGTGTACTACCTTGACTAGTGAAAGATCTCAAAGTTTGATAGGGTTTATGGTAGCCCCCACCAAAAGTTATATATATATATATATATCCAGTCCAACTGTGATATATAGGTCGTGTTCATTACAAATGAGCTTTTCAATACCAAGAAGATGGTTGAAGCATTATACAAGGGCAAACCCCAAATGAAATATATGCAAATAATCACCAAACTCCTCCATAACAGAAACGAAGTTTCTTTAGTGTGTCCCCAACACAGGCATAGTGCATATGCATTGCATAGTAACTGCACAAAGAAGGAAGACGTGGTGACACTGACAAAAATAATGTCAGATTACTCGCTAAGAGGAGAAGTTGATCATGCAAAAAAGATTTTTGAACAAATGGGTCATAGAGATCCTGTTTCTTGGAATGTGATGATCAAATGCTATATTGAAAACAACAGGGTTGGGGATGCAAGGGAACTGTTCGATGAAATGCCCGAGAAGAGTTCTGTTTCTTGGAATTCCATGATCATGGCTTATGCCAAAGAAAGAAAGACACACATTGCATTGAAGCTCTTTGTTGTCATGCCGGATAAAGATGTTGTTAGTTGGACTGCTATTGTTACAGCGCTATCTCAAAACTGGCGAATTAAAGATGCGTGGGGTTTGTTTAAGCAGATGCCTGAGCCTAATTCAGTTTCATGGTCTTCAATCATATCGGGTTTTCAGCAAAATGGATTTCCTGCTGAAACATTGAGTGTTTTCAAAGAAATGTTGGTAGTAGGGATGCACCCAACTTCACATTCATTTACTAGTGCTTTAGCTGCTTCTGCTGATCTAGCAATGCTTTCGGTTAGTGAGCAAGTCTATGCTCAACTCCTTAGAAGAGGATTTGATAGCAACCTTCATATAGGGAATTCAGCCATTTCTATGTTCGTAAAATCAGGCAGTTTTGATAATGCATGGCGCGTTTTTGTAGACTTGCCCAAACGTGACCATGTTACTTGGAATTCTATGATTATGGGTTTTGGGCAGCATGGTTATGGTGTAGAGGCTGTAATAACTTTTCATCAGATGCAAAAAGCTCTGTTTTTGCCTGATCGTATCAGTTTCTTGGGACTTCTACATGGTTGCAGCCATTGTGGTTTGGTCGAAGAAGGGAAGCAATATTTTAACAGTATGAAGATGGATTATGGGATTCACCCTGGACCTGAGCACTATGCCAGCATGGTTGACCTATTTGCACGTGCTGGGTTGCTTAAAGAAGCATATGACAGTATAATGCAAATGCCCAATGAGATCACACTTATCTTTTGGAGAACATTGCTGAATGGATGTAGGGTCTGGGGTGAGTTGGAATTGGGTCTACATGCTGCCGATCGGATTTTAGAGCTAGAGCCTCACAATTCAAGTGCATGCTTGATGATTATTGACATTTATGCATCAACTAAGAGATGGACAGAAGTGGCAGAGATGAGGAAACAAATGAGGGAAAGAGAAGCAAAGGGGGAGATGAGTTGTAGTTGGGTTGAAATAAAGGGGAAGAATCATTTATTTTCTACGAGGGATGAAACTCATCCAGAATCGAACTGTATCTACTCAATCCTTGAATTGTTATCTTCTGATATCGCGGAGTGTGTCAGTCTTTAAAATGCATGAATATCAGAAAGTTTTTTGTAATATTAATAATCACAACATGAAAATAAGAGCCATTTCTTGGTGCAATGGTCTGAAACCCACATAGGTGGAACCAATACTGGGTATGTGGCATACATATGCAAAGATTTCTCTCTTAATGGGTTGTAAGATATCCTCCTGGATGCCAAAGCCATGAAGCCCTTTGATAGGAGTCCTGCCTTGAAAGATTTGGATTTTCTGCAACAAATTAGATCTGGAGACAAACCATCTTGCTGGCACAGTTCAGGATATTCAATTTTGTAATTTTCTGCTTGGGTTAGCTCTTCTTTGGAGGTTTGCTAATGCAAGCATCTTGTACATTTAAATCTAAGATCAAAGTCGCTTATCTTGGACCAATATTACCTCTACAGCAACAAGCAGCAGGGTCAGAAAAGTATAAGCTATTGAAGAACCAAGTTGAACATGCAAACACGGGTTTGGTATTATGTGCTTGAGATTGGATCTTCAATTATATTACAATATGGTGAAAGCTGAAGATGGGATGTGTACCTTGAAACTTCACCATTGACAGTTCTCAGGTAAGAATTAATAACTTCCGAACTCTTTGATTTTTAGCAACGTAGTAACTTCATTCACCAATAAGAGTCTGTGTAGCATCATGTAAAGATGTATAAATCATGTACACAAACTTGAAATACTTCTTGATTAGCATAATAGCATGATGGATGTACAAGCTTTTCAGATAAAATAATCTAATAGTGTAAGTGTGCAAATATAAATAAGTCAGATTCCCAATGTTTCAATGTTGTTGGAGTGCATACTTGTCTAAATGTTGTCTTATGTTGCTCAATCAATTCAGTTGATATGGTTTGTCATTAATGCAGTGAAACATATCATCACCTCGCGAGATTAACATAAGACAGCCTAGTAGTTGAAAAGTGGATAATGATGGCAACTATGTATCTAGAACATAAATCAATAATGATTGTTTGAAGGGTTCCATGAAGGGGAAAAAGACTTGTGAATAAATCTTCACACATCTAAACCAAATAGAATCTTCCTTACAGCTGAATAATGTAGCAGTTTATTCCGTTGAAAAGTTTTTAAAACCTTCACGCTTAAGAAGAGCCCAGTTGAACATACTATACCCTGAAGGAGATTCCTTTTAGAGATCGTGAAAAGTTTGCTGTTAACCTGTTGCTGCTTCTGCTTGATTGGTGACATATGTTCTCACAATCCAGCATAGGACCATCCAATTTAATTTTAACAAACTTATATTACTAACTGGGAAAATTTTCACATTTAACAAAATGGTGCACTGGAAAGTATCAATTTAACAAGCTTTGATGTGCACGTTGGTCAAGGAAAAGTGTGGAATAAATGGAAATAGTAAACGAACTTCTAAGTATATGTATTGTAAAAGGGAAATATGGAAAAAGGTTTTGAAGTTTATATCCATAGATCCTGGTGAATTTCTACCCTGAACGCTAAATTTAATCCACTGCTTATCAGCTATATTATGTTTTTTTTGCAATTAATTAAGTGGTGGCTAATGGTGGGGTTTCATCCAGTGGACATATTGATTAGAATATGGTTGATTTGATACATTTTCTCTGGTTTGCTGAATTTTATGTTTTTTTGCATGGAAGCAATTGTTGAAATAAATAGAATGTTAATCCAAGTAACACCTTTCATGGTCGGGAGGAAGTCTAGAATGCATAACCTTCGGAAAGGAGGAGTCTCTATTTGGAAAACGCAGCTAAAAAAATTCAGTAAGAACCATGTTCAATTGTGTTTTGCAGAGTTGGACATTAGCTCCTCCTCATTTTTTTTTTTTTCCTAGTTGACATTAGCTCCTCCTTGTTGGAGTTCATCGAGGAAGCCTGAAATCGACAGCAACTCCTTTGTGTGAGGAGTTTGAAAAGACTTCGTCTTCATGTTTAGTCATTTTTTCTGTCAGAACACGTGGAGACCTGCACATATTGGGCTTGATGCCCATGGCACATTCCAAAAGATACTTAAATTGGGCAGTTAATCTTGATCAATCCGCACTTTGTATCCACTACTTTATAAAGTAGTTACTATATCAATGCAAACAATCACTGAATTCTATTTAGTTTACATTGGAATCAGATCAAAATTTTATCCATGTAGTAAAGTATACTCGAGAAATGCTTATCTAGATGTGTTTTCCATGACTTTGCTATTGACTACTCCATTAAGGGACTTTTGTATGGCTGTACCTGAGTGCATATCGGTTGAAGTAGTTTCTTTTTTTTGTTCAATCAAAATTTCTTCCCAAACTGTAATACCTTCATGAAAAATATTTCCAATGCCTGACAGTTTATGGGTTACTAACATATATAATGCTATATACTTCCTTCGCAGGACGCTACAATAGAGTCATGAAAATAAGTGGTTGGATACACTGCCACAATGTATGTAGACACTAGAGTCATGCAACTAAGTGGTTGGATACCCATACGCTACAATGTCTGCAGCATGTCCTATCTTTCAAGTTCATGTAAGACAGGTTCTGTGATATACAAGAAGCTTCTCAGTCATTCACATCGATTAACTATTTCTTTTGTGCACCTTTATATTAGTGATTTATAGTTTGAAAAGATATCTGAAGCAAATGAAAACCGGTAAGGGAAAATTATGTAAGTTGGGGAATTTTGCATTATTAATTCAATACACAGTATTTAGAAGTATTTTTGTTCTGATATATAACTACAAACATATACATGCATGTTTATTTGGGATAAACAAGCCTGCAATTGGTACTATTAGTCATACCATGTAAAGGAAGTGTGGAATTGTATATTTGGACCACTGTTAACCATATTTGAAAAATCATCTTAGTGCAAATGATAGTTTGATAGGATAACTTGGTTTTTAGATTTTCTCAGGAGCAGAAAATAAACTGCTAACATATAAGGCCTCGTTAGACATGCACGTACTGCAGCTGGACATGAAAAAATATGATTGTTTAGGAAAGCCAGACTGTTGTTTACCAGCATATAGTTATTCATTTTGTTTTCTTCAAAAAAGAAGAGGATTAAAAGAAAGAAAATTTAAATACTTGAATTAAATGAAGATAGAGTTATGCATGTTAAATGGTTGTTTTATAAGGGTGACTCTGATATTATGTTAAATGCGGGGATCAGGGAGGGTCAGATTATGTAGCCTTACCTCTCTATCCGGAGAGACTATATGTGACCAGGGCCGGCCTTGGCCCAAGGCGGTCGCCTAGGGCCTCAACATTTAGAGGGCCTCAAAAGTTTTAGGCCCATTAGTGATAGGTCCAAAAAAAAAAAAACAAAAAAAAACTCAAGCCCCTTACCATGAGTGAGATAGGCCCAAATAAAAATTAAAAAACTTTGGTCCCTTTCCATGAGTGATAGGCCCAAAATAAAAAAATAAAAAATAAAAACTTAGTCCTTCTATTAATTAAACGAATTCAATGCCCATTCAAAATTAGGGTTCTTAAAAATTTGGTGATTAAATTCGAAATTGAATATTACCCTTTACTACTTTATGCGTATGTTAGTATGTATTTCAGTAATTGAAGGGCCTCACATTTAAGTTCGCCTAGGTCCTCTCAAGATTTTGTCAATCTCAGGACCGGCCCTGTATGTGACCAGATCATAATGGGGCAACCATACTGTTGCATGAAGCCCATCCACTCTAAGGCTTCGTTGTTTCGACAAAAGATATTTTTCTCGGAAAAGATTTTTCTTTTTCAGGTAAAATAAATATTTTTTTTTTATTTTTGTTTTCTCGGTGCTTGGCAAAGGTTTAAATCGAGATTGATGTCAAGTCCATAGGATGGGGCGTGTAAAATGACTTGCCGAAAATTGATAAGTAAGTTTATTTTCTTTAGGTTTTAATAAATTTTTTCTTTGTAACTATTTTACGACAACCAAATACCCGAAAATAAAAATATTTGTATTTTCTAAAAAATATTTTACATCCAAACAAACGGATCCTAAGTGTGGATGACAACCTGAATTGCTACTTAGACATATTCAAAAGGCATGTGTTTCTTTTCCGCCTTTCAAAATAGGTAATGTGAAAATAACAGAATTAGGAACTTTAATTGGTAGAGGAAGTCCGAAAGAAAGGAAAAAAAAAGAAAAAAAAAAAAGAAAGAGTAGCTTTAGTAAAGGACTTTGATATAAAGTCAAGTGTTTAGCATTTCTTTTTGTTTTCTGTGCAATATACATGAATTAAACTAGTATCTTCAAACTATCAAATAATTAATGTCCAAAACTTATGTGAAAGAATTAGTTTTTATCTTTAAAAAAATGAAAAATCACTGGACATGCAGTTTGAACTTTTGACCCAAAGGGTTGTCCAAAACTCTAGCCATTATACTGCTTCATTAGGGAATGATTATAACTTTAGAAGTTGGGCAGTCATACTTATAAGTCTTTACTCTGGCATGAGTTTATGGTGGCATGTTGCATTCAAAAGCTTGATTTATGGGGTGTGTGTTGAATGCGTTCTAGGCTTTTTGAACGTGGTTTGAATTAACCTAAAGACCAAAAATTGTGATCTCAATGATTATATTAGAACTCTTTTAACTTCTTTTATCTTTGACTTAAAAGCCAAATAGAAATGGTATTATATGAACCTACTTAGCCAAAGGTTTTATAATGTTTGAATAGAGTATTAGAGAAACAATGATGCTGTTTTGGGTTAATTTACTCTCTCTCTCTCTCCCCCTCCCTCTCTTTTTAAATCACAAACACTTGGAATTGGTTAAATTAAGCATGTGATGGCTCACAAAAAGAACTGAGACATGTGAACTATGATATTGGGAACATGCTCAAAATGTCTACTAAAACAGAACTAAGGAAATATGCTCTGTGGCTGTTACTTTTCTCTTCATTTCTTTTTTATTAGGTTGAGTGATTGGTTGCGATTAAATATTGCTTGTTTTGAGTAGAAGATCATGTAGTACACACTGGAGAATAAGATAGAAAGACCAGAACTGAGACGTGTGAACTGTGATATTGGAAACATGCACAAAATGTCTACTAAAACAGAACTAAGGAAATATGCTTTGTGGCTGCTACTTTTCTATCCATATCTTTTTTATTAGGTTGAGCGATTGACTGTATTTCTTGTTTTTGAGTAGAAGATCATGTAGTACATACAGGAGAATAAGATCTTTCCATGCAACGGTCGAATAGTAAATAAGAAGGAAAAAAACTGATACTGTAAAAAAAATTTAAATAAGGAAAAAAAAAATCCAATTTATGAATATGATAAGATAAAATAGGTCTTATTCATCTCTGTATGTGAGAAAGAGAGATAGAATAGGTCTTTGAGTCTAATGTAATTTGGAACTTGCAAACATTATAGTAAAAAACCAGAATTACTGAAATTTCTTACATTTAGTTATGAAATGGCTCAAGCACCAGTCTGTCATTTATGTTCTCTCATTTTATTGATCACAATTGCGTTGTTCAAGCATATCCAATATATCAACTTTATTACATAATTGTGTATAAAACTATCATGTTATGTTACTCCTTTTACATTATTGTTTCAAAACAAGTGAATTGTTTATTTTTACACTCTATGTTTCGTAGAAGTATGTTTTAATATCAAGTGATATGAATGTTCGTTTTCTCACGTCCTTGCATTTGGAGGTTTGATAAATCTGATATATGCTTTCTGTTCGCGTATCAGGTCCATGTAAGATGTCGGCAACAAGCTTTATGATTGAAAAGGAGGCACATTGGGTAGAACATATCTCGATACATGTTCATTTCATTTTGGCAGTGCTTTGTTTATGTCTTGAATTATCTTTGAATCTTTTCCCTCCTAGAGAGTTTGCTTTAGTTTCTTCTCTGTGCATGTATAAGTTAACTCACATGGGTTGTCTTCTATTGGCTAATGCTAGTTACTTTAAGGTCCAAAGAGAACAGACCAAAAGTTGGGATCTTGATTGAGAAGGAAAGCTACACTTAAACCAAGGAAATAAACCGATGGAAAAGGTTTTCCTTTGAAAATTAAGCCTGGTTGAGAAGGAAAGTGAGGGGTGGTAGACAAACTGATGAGGGTGAAACATAACATTACTTCTAAAAGGGGAACAAGATCAATAAGGAGAGAACAATTATGGGACCCAAACCCTAGTCAGAAACCTCCATATTTCTTTGTATCACGATCCCTTTTTTAATGGCTTGTTATCTTTATACATATATACATCACAAAATGTATAGGCATGGGACCTTCAGTTCTTGTCACACCAGAAGCCCTTTCGGTGTGAAGCTTTGTTACATAGTCAGCAGAGATTGGCCCACTTTGACCATTTGGCTGACTGACTTTGTTTGGAGTGTTTCTGGAAAGATTTAACAATTCATAGAAGGTGTAAAGCCAAAAACCTGCTCTATACAATATACAGAGAGAGGTTACACACACACACACACTGGGATGCCTGCTTTGCCTGTGGCTAAATGATCTAACGTAGGAATAGAAGAAGTAGAAGATATGTTTAGTTTTGGAATTGGTACTTGCAGTAGCAAAAGTTTTGAATAATTTTTAAGATTTTAATTTTCTTTTTTAAGAGTGTGAGTGAAGCCATTATTATTAGATAAGTCATCTGAGATACAATTGATGTTTTTTTATCTTTTGAAT